GTTAATTTGTCATTCATGTTCATTTTTATGTTGCTTCTATTTATAGAAGGTCATTGGTTACGGATGACATTATCCTTTTTAATTGAGTAATAACGGTTATAATTTATTTGCAGGTAAATTTTTAAATGAAGCTTTATTTAAAAATATTATACATACGCCCTTTTTATATACAATTTATTCATGTAAGCTATGTGGTATTTTAATGTTTTTAATTTAAATTCCAATATTTATACTAACTAAAATGTTTTTGTAATATAGCTATTATCACTTAGAATGATCATATACATCTTAAACCTTTATTCATGTTAGCAAGTTTAGTTATCAAGTATTCATGAATAAAGGAACATGAATTTTGAAAACACGGCACCTTTGTTTTGGGCAGTCATATAATAACCAAAAGCGACCACAATACTGTCTTATTTTCATACTGGACTGTGCTATAGTAACATTAACTTGGTTAAGGTTAACTCTGAACAATAGTTTATTTTCCATATATTCCTTTAAAATGACGTAACCTTGAAGAACTTGCAATGGTCATTGCTAATTTACATCTCATTGGTAAACACTTTTGGAAGTTTTCCCATTACCATGAAACTACACAACCGTGGACAATCAGCCGCGGTATTTAATAAGTATAAAAGATTTTTGTCAACATTTATTTGGACAGTGTTTGTGTCACTATGGTGCATATAGCATGTCCGCTATTATTTATTTTAGCTTTTATGGTAGTTACAACTTTAACAGTCGAGAACAAAACTACTTTACCTAAGTCCCCTGCAAAATTAGAGAAACATAATGGTGTAAGTAATTTATTTATAATATTTTACAAAAGACGAACTTTTAATTTTCAGTAAGTTCTAATTTCCTTTCACAAAGATATTAAAAACACATTACAGAACGCTGATGGTATGAATTATAAATAACTTAATAGGTAGGACAGGAATACTTATAGAATTAATTTACTTACGTTCTATTTCCAGGCCATATCCAGTTTTGTAAAAATGTTGATCGACATACCGATGGGCATTGTAGAGGCGTTTAAAGATGTAAGTTTTTTTTATAATTAAGTATTTAGTATGTATCATGAACATGTGTAGGTACCTACATATAAAAACGATAAATCTACGCTTCGTTATTCGCATCGATTATAATTATTCAAAACTAAAACAAAAAAAAACATACTAGTATTATAAATTCGAAAATGTGTCTGTCTTTCTGTCTGTCTGTTACCTTTTCACACTTAAACCAATTTAAATGATATAAATTTAAGAGAGGTAGGGCACAGCAGATTTTCTGCTCGAATTGGAACGCCCACCTGGGGACGCAGCCTCCTCCTTACATAAGACCACAGTTAAATAACACTACCTGCCTTTTGGTGGTGTTATGTTTTTGCTGGTGAGTAGGGTTCCAGGGCTCCACGGGGAGGGAGATTGTGTTCAGGCCGGCAAGGTGAATATGGCTGGAGCTGCACACTTTCTGCCGCATCATCTATCTTCGCTTCTGGACTTCACTTACAGTTAACATCAGGTGGGGTAGGGTAATTTGTTACGCCTCGTATACAAAAATTGGTAGATATAGATATACTACTTTGAGTCCTTTTTTTTTGACAATGGAAAATCCATTTACGAACCATACCGCGCGCTGGCTAGGCGCGCGACGTGTGTGGGACTGACGGAACAGCGCCGGTCCTACCCACTAAAAACCACCGGTACCCTCCTACGCCCTTGTGGGAGCGTCTCAGGATCAGCGCACCTCTGCGTGCACCACTTCACTGGGACGCCCCCGGGCCGGCCCGGCCCAACGAGTGGACCGAGCGACACGCCTCTGGGGGATTGTGCTAGGGTACTAGGCAATCCCCAGATGGGGTTGCCTATGCTGAATGGCACCTAGGGCACGCGGCGGCCAAGCTGCACCCAGACCACCTTAGGGCCGACGAAGACCGGCAGTCACGGCTGCCTGCCTTCTTCGGCCCACCTGTCTACGTCGGAGGGGAGCGTCCCGCTCCATCTCCGCGGCCTCCTTCTGCATCATCACTGATTCGCAGAAGGAGGCGGCAGCCTTCCAGGCCTGCTCGCTACCAAGCATGGCTCTAACCATGCTTGGCAACAAGAGGTCTCCACCGCCGCACACGATTAGCGTGTGCTCGGCCGTGTCGTCGGGAGAGGCGCAGTGATGACACCGCATCGACTCCTCCCGACGGGCAACACGGTGCAGGTATTGACCGAAGCACCCATGTCCGGTCAGTACCTGCATCAAGCCTACTTTGAGTCCTAGGAAAACATAAACAATAGTTTTTATCCCATAAATCATCCTTTAACGGGGTTAAAAGGGAGGTGGAAGCTTCTAGGGAAAAATAATTAAACCAAGCAGACGAAGTCGCGGGCACCCGGTTGTGGTATATATTTTTAAAACATCTTGAAAATAAGTGTTTGCGTAGGTACATACGATTCCCCCAGAGGGATAGACGAAGGCACTTTTCATAGTTAAAAAACTTTCTGCACGCACTATACGTAGCGCAGGCACTAGGCAGCGATTAAAGTTAATACGCTGCTAAAGTGAGTACTTTAGCAGCGTATTCTATATGCAGAAGCCGTATTCTATGAAATCTTAACGCCTTCTCGTCGGCCTCTATTAGAGAAATTCTCATAACTTTTCCTATATACAAAAGTTCTGCATTCAACTGGTTAGAAAATAAATCTCTTAGAAGCAAATTCTCGTAACTATTCTTAAATACTAATGTTTTATCATTGAACTGGTTACTGACAAGTTTTACAGAATTCGCGCATTAACCCAATAAAACTAGTTTTATTTAATGAGTAATGTGCGTGAAAACCTAAGAAACAAACATTTGACACATTTACTATATTTGACGTGACATTAACTATAGTCAAATTAACCTATGCTTGAAACTACCTGACCTACCCGAAAGTCAAAAAGATGAAGACGCCAAGTATTTTGGACCTACTTACCTCTTTCTTAGTTACGATACCAACTTGACCAAAGCAAGTTTCAACGGATTTAAAGTATTTTTTTGTTTTCAGGGAGCGGATGCACTCGAAAGTTTCGTGGTGTCATTTATGAGAGGTGTATTTTAGAAAATAATAATATTTTTTTTACTTTTTAATGATTTTTTTTTATTTCTTTGTACCCTATTTTTTTATGGGAAATATTTGATTAAGGATCCTCTTAATTAGTAATAAAAATAAAAACCTAAAAATACAATTGATAACCTAAAGGTTAGGTTAGGTTTGGTTAGGTTCCGCCGGGGTGGTGTGATTTGATTCCCAATATGGAACCCACGCCGTTATATCCGGCTGAGGAGGGCACATCCCGGAGTTTTAGTGAGTAGGGCCCCCCCCATCCCGAGCAGCCACTGAGCAAGCCCTACGGGGTGGCTAAGTGGGTGGCCGGGAGGTGGGGGGAGGAGTCCCACATAACCCCGTCGCCTTACCCAGCGGCGGGGTATGCGTCATGCATTTCTCCGGGTCAAAAAAAAAAGGTTTGGTTAGGTTACCAATTGTATTTTTTTGAGCATCAGTTACACTTTTTGAAAATCAGTTAAATATGCTCCTTTTTCTATACTAATTTATACTATTATTATAAAGAGAAAAGCTTTGTATGTAAGTTAGTAACGAATTGGCTCAAAAAGTACTGGACCGATATTAAAAATTCTTTCACCATTTGAACGCTACATTATCACTGATAAACATAGGCTATAGCATGGATGAATGATTGGTCTTGCTTCACTCGACTGAAGCGAGACCAATCGTTTATCTATGGGCTATAGAGTATTTTCATAAAAGTTAGGGTTCCGTATAAAAACTTCGATAATGTAACCCAGACTGTGAAAAAACTACCAAAAAATAACCTTATATCGCTAACGCTGCGGAAGTCATTGATAGTAGAGCAAAGTGATGTACTAAAACTTTATAAAGGACATCAATATCTACAAAAACGTCCGGGATACCATATGTCTAACTATTACAGTTACATCACAACTAGAGGTCCCCTGCGATTTCACCCGTGTTAATTTGAGGAAAAAGGTTTTAGTGACCCAAACATAAAAGATAGGCATATGCTGTTGCGGACATTTTCAAAGAACATTTAAAGGGAAACGATTCTGCCATATGTGATTTTTGTGTAACTTTAATCATTTGCGCAGCGCAAGCAACGGAAGCGCACAAATGCAATATTTTTACCCGTTTTTGAAACATTTTACATAGAAGATTCGCGCCTACTGGTAGCAGCGTGATCTCATATAGCCATAAGCCTTACTGAATAAATGCATTACCTAACACAAAAAGATTTTTTCAAATCGAACCATTAGTTACTGATATTTGCGCAATGATAATATGGTACAAGCCTTAGAACAAAACATATAGTCTACCTACATTACAGCTCTACACCGAAGCGAAGCGAGGGTGGGCCACTAGTATCTTAAATAAACTTAATCATCATTGGCTTATTAATATTCCTACTGCTTGGTCACAGGTCTTCCTTAAGGATGGTAGAAGAAGAAGAACAAACAAGATATTTATCCACCATGCAGGCTCAGTGTGGATTAATATGTGTTAAATATTGCAAATGCAGCTGCCAATAACGGCTGGACTTAAAACATTTGACCAGACATAGTGGAAGTTGCTTCACTTGAGGTAACTTTCTTATCCTACATTTCCACCTAGTGTTCAGTACCCTTAGCACGAACCAATATCGTATTCGAATAGTTTGCGAGTGCGAAATGTCATTGTCAAATGTGTACTGAATTTTAATTCTCATTACTGCGCTGCTGTTCAAATTTCCATACAAAATTTGACAATGCCATTTCTCACTAACAAACTTTTAGAATTCTATAATAATAACATTCTTTATTGTATAACACCACAAAGTAAAATTATACTAACAGAGAGACATTACACAATGGGCGGCCTTATTGATTAATAGCAATCTCTTCCAGGCAACCCATGATGGAAAACGATATAAGTATATAAGAACAAAAAAGGGGGGAAGGGTGTAGAAAGCAATATTATAAAATAAAGTAAAAAGGTAATTATAATAAGATGCATATTTATATTTAAAACAAAAAAAGAAACTAATAAATATATAAAGAAAGGAAAGAGGTATATTTAAAGTAAGGATAGGAAATGACGCTTAACTTGATCACGGAACGAGTGCAGAGTGCGAGCCCATCGAATGGATTCCAGTAATGAATTCCACAAGCGAATAGAATGCATAGAGTAGGAGTAAGAAAGGAAATCAGTTGAATGGCAAGGTATTTCAAGAGTGAGATTAGAAGAGGAGCGTAGAATCCATTGTGAAGAGGATGAACGCAAAGAAAAGCATTGTTTTAAATAAGGTGGTGAAGTAGGTAGAAAAAGTACATAATACAGGGACATAGGAGCATAAGAGCATGTAAGCCACTGCGCCGGCGAATAGGAAGCCAGTTGAGTTTCGAGCGGAAGTGGGATACATGATCAAATTTACGGAGATTATACATAAATCAAATAACCATATTCTGCAAACGTTCCAACTTGCTTAGCAGTTCCTCGGATAGATCAGTGTAACATACATCATCATAGTCCAGAATGGAGAGTAAAAGGAAAGCTGCGCCAGAGTGATTTTAGTACTGGTCCGCAAAAAGTTACGTAGGCGATTAAGTGAGTTGTATGCAGGTTAACTTCGATCAGAGGGTTCCAAGAGAAACAGTGATCAAATATCACACCAAGTTCTTTGACAGATGTGGAAAGGGGTATAATAATCCCATCAAAATAATAAATCAAAATATTGGGTCGTGCTAAGGGTACAGCAGTTCTGAACGAGCAAACATTTTCTCGCACGGTAAATGAACTTCTCAAAACAATGTTGCGTTGTTTTCACTGAGAGACATTCGATTCCTGAGTCCAGTCAAACAACGTTGTACGAAGTGGTAAGCTCACTGGCTTGCTCTGATGTTTCCATTTACCGAGTGCGAAAATGTTTTCTCGATCAGAACTGTTCTGAGCATAAGTGGAAACGCAGCATTAGACGTCGCTGTAATTCGAGCAAACAACCGCTGTACCTATCACTGTTAAGATTCGCTGATTTTGTTTTAAAAGGATCTAATGGGAAAAAAACTGCCAGTTTATTCCGTCGGAGGCTTAGGTGTCGAATGGCCCATAACAATTAACAACAACTCGAGACAGCTGCCAAAGTTCCAAAGAAAACCGACAAATTCCGATAGATTAGAGCTGTTCCATCAGTTCCATGGGCTGTTCCAAACCTACGCTCCGGGTGCAACAAATGTCAAATTTGACATAAGTTTCATAAATTTTATGTCAGAATTGAAACGTCGGGGTAAAAAGTTGCACTCAGAACGTAGGTTTAGAACGCAGTCTTGCAGTGACAGGTTGCTCGTTATGGGCCAAACGGCCAAAGCGCCATCTGTAACGAGCTTTTCGTTTCCTTCTCTATTGGAAAAGCGCCAGCCAGTGTATTCATTCTTAAAGCAAACATTTTAATTATTCTGTAATATCAAATTTATTTTTTACTTGCATTACATATTGAGGCATTCCCTACTAATAACGTCATAAAAAATAAATTCATAATAATTCATTTAAATACACTCCATTATAAAAATAATTACATTTTGTAGTGGTTCCGACTGCTATTTTTATTAACACAAATTATTAATATCATTTCTTTGGGAAATCAAAACTAGACAATTTACTGTAAGAATTTCTTAAGATCTTATTTTAATTGTGTTGGTTTAAATTATAAACTCTATAATAAAGTTAACAAAAATCATTTTTACTTACAATTACTTGAAATAGTCAACAACTATGTTAACTATTCACGGACGCACATAACAACGATATTTTATATATAAATTTTCATTTATTTTGGTATCTTCTTCATGTACTTTAGCAATACGGACTAGATTTCTGTACTGGTGCAAATCTGAAAATGTTATTCTAAATACTTAATGACAAAATAATATGTATGTAGCTTGAATATCAAGCTCTGTTAATTTGATATCAATTCATTTTTATATACACATTTTGATAAAGTTATACACATTTATAACATTCGAAAACAACATAATAATGCATCATTTAATAACATCATACTAATCAAATGATTAAAATAATACATCACCGTTTTGTACATAAAACATTGATTTATTAAACTTATTTAAATTCTACTCCATTCTATTGTACCAATATGGTGGGGTTTAGATAAATATCTAATAATATTTTATAATTATAAAATGCCATTCAATACTAACTCGTCTTCATTTATAATAAAATATCACATCATACAATACACATCACCGTGTGTTCCAGCAATAATAACGAATACCAAACTCTTTAAATAGTTGTTTACACTATCATTAAATTTATGAGAAACATTAATAACAAACTCACCATGTTCTTTATTATACCTATCTCACTTCATTTCATCCTTGCTTAGTTTATTTTATTAGGTATATTATTTAAATCATATCATACGACAGTTGCGATAGTTTTATTTGCAATGTTATTGCCAGATCAGAAAGGAAAAAGACAGATTTCAAATTGCAAAATTAATCAAGAGCTACTAAATCATTTTCTTTGGGAATAATAACATAGAAATGAATTAAAAAGGTAAAGATTAATAAATAAGCAGTAACTGTTAGGACAAAGATTCAGACAACATTCAGTACATCACATAGAAAACTATAGTAATTCTAATATGACACGTTTTAAATAATAATAACATAATCCATAACAGACTGGATTTCGTTATGAGAAATGTAGGTATTCTTCAAATTGCATCCTCTATTCCTAATAATCAGAGATCAGGGCTGAATGTTGATAACTTTAATTCTTCCGTTACTCGCGTAAACTCAGCCTATTGTAAATTTTCAATTGACAGTTTACAGATAAAACCAACGTTTTCTTCGAATTAAATACAATGAACCTATTTGACTAGACCGTTCGGTACATTGATATAGTTATTAATATCCTTAGGTTTCTTATCTAGGCTGCCGTCTACATCTAACGTGATGTATGTGGGGTTAGTCACAGCACTGTTGTGTGTGTTTTTCAAGTTGTTGTGGGTCGGTTTGAATACGTCGTCGCTTTCTTCGACGATCTTTGGGCACATGTTGAGGTAGGGCGAATGGCCCTCGTGGTCCGAGTCGGATCCACTCCTGGCGGGCAAGTTATTCAGGGTCAACATCGGCGTCAGTTCAGACCCACCACAACCTTCGGCCACTTTCGGGTCGAACTTCTTCGAGTCGAAATCAAACTTGGTGCTAGGGCTCCGTGGACTAAATATGTTCTGTTTCATGGGCGTCATTTGCAAGTAACCCTCCTCGTCTGAAATTATGATTTTTATATCACTACAAACATACATGTAATAGCTAAGTAAGTGTTTTTTAGCTATCAAATTTGATTCAAAACGTTTAAAAATTTCATTAATTACTTATTAAATGCGTCAAAATATATGTTAATCTTTTCAATAGGCATATATAATATTAAAACCGAAATAAAATTATTGTATTAGTTTCGTCAAAACCCATGCGTTTTAGAAAATTAAATCACACAATATCTTAATTTTATACAGTGAGGTGCAACACATGACAATGATTGTGTTAAATTAGACAAACAAAACGAAGTCAAGGCATAGTATTATCTCGTTACCACGTGAAGACTGGATTTCATTCATTCAGAAAGTGCTTGTCTCCGATTCGGCTGATAAAAAACAACTATTGTTTTAAATATAATATTATGCAATCTAAGAATTATAGTAATGGTGTAAAAAGGGACAGCAAACTTTTTTTACTTTCTATGAACATGATCATACGTTAATGGTTACGCGAATGATCGAATTTCCGCTATTAAGGTATTCTATCCAAAACCAGCCAAACACCCTCTTTTTTCATAACAATTAATTACCTTCTTTTGTATCAGCTGCGTCCATAAATAAAAAAATGGTTATTATTTCAATAATTACAACGCGGTGTTTGTATAATCTTAGTATTTTTAGTGTCTAGTCTAAAATCACTGAAATAGAATTGCGTATTAAATTACAATATCTATTTCAACTACAAAAAAATGTATGCAAAAAAGCATATGGCCTGTCAGATATTGCCATCACAGTTTAAAGACCCTTACGATACTGGAGTATCACGCGAGAGTTGCCGCCCAGATCCCATAACTTCATCGTGGATCCCTGAAACCTTATTCATATTACCAAAACCTAATGCTAAATTCACTTTAGCTTTTTGGGAGGTGCGCTTGTTTTCCCAGTCGGGCAAATTCGATTGCGAAATCTGAAGGTTACGGTAGCCGTATACTTATTTTCCATTCTATATCAAATATAAAAGTGTAGCTGGAACTCTGCGTACAACAAAGTGAAGCCGGCTAAAACTAAGACTCGCCCTTTCCGTATACAAAAACACGAACGCGTACAAAGAAACTGAGATGAGATCTTATAAAGATTTACTCGATACGCCGCCATAGCTAGACTAACAAGACAATGCTTAGTTTCGTAGTACGAATGTGCAGTGTGCATGTTATTGTGTACTTCAGAGCAAGGCTTAGTTTTAACCCGCTTCACTTTGTTCTGCGCAGACTTCCATCGATTACCTTTTTATTTGATCTGAGTTTGCTACCCTCTGATAAAAAAAAAATCTTACCAAGTGGAACTTGGTTCGGCGTCGGTGGGAAGAAGCTCCTCACGTCGTTGACGTAGTGGTGGGGGCTGGGCGTGACGAGGTTGTTGTAGTCGGGCGCGCTCACCATCGCCAAGTAGTCCTCCTGGCCGGCGCTCTTCACGTTCAGGTCCATGTACGTAGAGTTCAGATCCACGTAATGCTGAGGAATGTCGAGAGAACAATCAGAAAGTGTGTCAAATAGCTGACTTGACTATGCTTCATCATTATCTATAAGTAATGAAATGAAATGAAATGAAACGAAAGTTTATTTGCATGAAACATAGTTTGATACAGCTGGTAATTAATATGAAAAGTTTCATATGTTTCACCCTTAGAAGAGCATATAAAATACTAATAAATTATCTAAATAGTACGTGTAATGTAAGTGTAATGTAATGAAATTCAGGACATCTTTTATCTGACAAAAAGAATGGGCGCAAGAAACATATTAGCATTTCCTTTAAGTAAATTCATGTTGCTAATAATAAAATTAATTAAATACGTTAATAATTTGTTACAAAGCTACATGTCAATTTAATGACAGAAGTTGTAAGTATATCGTCATCATCATCAGCCTATTAATATCCTCACTGCTGGGGTACAGGCTTTTACTGTGAATGAATTAGGAGGATGGATTGTGGCCCACCATTGATTGGCCACAATCCATTGGCGATTGGCATGTGCTTAAGACTGCATTTATAGGGTAACAGGAAAACTCGACCTATTCCTTGAAAGGGGTTATACTAGAGGTCATTAGCAGCAAATCAAGTCCAGTGAACTAGGGGTCAAAACTGGATGGTTACCGAGTTGTGACGGTTCTTCGATTTTTGAGATTTTTTCTGACTTATTTCCATAAACCATTAATTGTGAATGAACTACTCCACTCTAAACATGTAATTTATACTTTCTGAAAACTGAAAAATCAGTAATTATCAAAAAAGAAAAATAGCTCAAAACATACACAAACTTAGAAATAAAAGAGCTTTTGTAACAATAATTTATATTTTTTGTGTTTTTTTTTATTATTAGAAAATAACTATGGAATTTGGCGTAAAAATTAGTAAAATTACAAACTAGTTTCATAAGCTTTCCAATAAGGTACAAAAGTTATTATTTATTTAGTTATTTTATTAGCTGTGTTTATTAAAAACAGCAAAATAGCGCTGTAGTGCAAACTTTTCTATTTGATTTGTAAATTGAAATACTGTCATATTGACTGTGTCACTGCTTAATAAAGACACTCAGCTACTACAATTAGAAATTTTAAAACTTTCGCGTTGCATTTTATTACATTTAATTAACAGGAACTAAGCGCGATGTTAGTTATTGCTAATTATAATATTAGCTATTACGATGTTAGTATTTACTCCGATAATAATCTGCGGCGGTAGTTCAAAAAAGTGCACAATACCTATAGATACTAAAATTTGGTCTATAAGAGCCCTTCCACATTTTTGCAAAAAAACGTAATTTTTATTAACATAAAAGATTTTGACTATTTGTAATGGAAGTGACCAGTAGATTTATTCTTCTTATTGTAAGTTAATGTAGAATATTTGCAAATACGATTTTCGTTTTTTTGTACTGATCGTTCTACTGCAGCTAGTTTACGGAAATAACGATAATATGCACAACTTCAAACGCCTCAATCTCTCAATAATGTTCAATAAATTAGATCAAATTAATTACTACAACATCAGAAATATGTTTTTGTTGTAACATAATGTATTAGAATTTTGATTTTCCATCTCATTAATTATCAAAAAAAACATCTAACCTCCGTGAGCTTTCCCAAAAAATAAGCAGGTTTACCATCTACCATAATCTACCATCATTGAACTACTGAACTTTGTATATATTTTTATAATTAGTTTATTAATAATTATTTTTTATGTCTCGAAACATCACCCGTAAAATGCAATATATACTAGTGCAAATCTACCTACTCGCCGATCAGTACGGTAGCGGCGCAATTTTGTAAAAGGGCTCTTAACATATTGTGGTGACCTTGTGAATGGACTGCAGATCGTTTATAATGAAACTACTGTGACTGGCTGCGTTCCCAAATGAATAATACGCTGACATCGTGTATTTGTACGGATTTTATGATGGTGACGCCGCTGCAGCATGAAGAGAATACCAAAGGCTTTTTTTTTGAGAGTGTATGCTGTTGGTTGCAGTTGACCTTTAGAGCGTCATCGGGTTTGGGGACGGCGAGATCCTAAAGGGGACCTCAAGCCGAGAATTGGCGAGTGCCTCTAGAGGTATTCCAGACGGATAGCATCTCCCTGCAGGGAGAGTCTCCTCTCCGTCTGGAGGCTCCAGTCCACTCGAACCTGAGGGGGGTATCAAAGGCTTTACCCTAATCGCCGTATACCTGACATGAGCGTGTTTGGTGCTACTTATCAGCGCATCCGAGAAACGGGATGACGACGCCACAACGATGATGGCAGATTTTTATTGCAAATGACTATGATGAAATTCTTCAGTGCTTTCGAGCAGACGCTTCTGTTTCAACAAGGCTAATAACAAGGTGACTGGTTTATCGCAAAAGAGAGCCCGGTATGTAGCGCATACAGCAATCCTTTATCCTTCGAGTCGAGTTAACAGGTCGAGTTTTCCTGCCACCCTGTATACTCTCTAATTTATATCCTTATTGCTGGAGCACAGGCTTTCTTTTTGGGTAGAATAAGGAGGACGCGCCATGAGTGCCTGCCAAGTTCAGATTGGTGGATGCTAACGAATGCTTATACTCGAGACCAATGGCCTGATAGGTATTGATTATTGGGTCATCCAACTGGGATCGGCCATTAAAATAGTTGCTTAGTTCCCAGGATCGCAGATCGGTCTAGTACCCGTTGGACCCTGCTACTTGGACCTTACCTAGAAAAAAGTACCCATTCGACCACCTATCAAGAACATGGTGTCCATTGGACCCTCATAATAGGTACTTACTAACATGATAGTACCCATTCGACCTTCTATCAAGAACATGGTGCCCATTGGAGCCTCAAAGACGAACTTACCTACAAAATAAGACCTATTGGAACTCTCAACTATTTGGCTTATTCTTTTGGAACGGTAAAGTACAGTCGTGTAGTAAAGTAACTTTGTAAAAGAAATAAAAACACAAAGGTTTTAAATCTAAGAATTTAATCAACATATTTGTAAAATTCAAAATATCAATCATCAGCCACAACAACAACCAAGATTTTTTTACTTTACTTTTAAAGCCAATAGATATCGATCGCGCTTACCGCTGCAATATCGAGCTCCCCGTTTAATTAATTATTACTTATTACTAAAGTATAATCCATTTCCAGCTATTAATTTATCGATTTAAGAGAGTCTGGACTACAACTCGAAAATTGTACTGGTACTAATTGTGTGGAGCTTAAATGGGTACGTAGTACTGAAAATGACTACCTACCTCGAGAGCAATCTTTTTGCTTAAGAGGCGAGGCGTGCAATGTTTTTCCAATACAAAAGTTCTCGAACAAACTGATTCCTCCTTGATTTTTATCACTAGAGAATTTTCACACATCAAATATATTTTTCTCATTCTATGCTTCGATGTCTTTCTTTTTTCGATACCTTGTGTTTCAAAGAAACAAATGATAAAGCTAAACAAATTTTTATCACCACGTCTAGTGGAGATTTTATAAGCATTTACAAAAAAAACAAAACAAAGAGGTATAGCATAACTACTTATTATTCTATGGGTAAAATTTCTTTTACATATATCTAAATTTCGAGGAGGAAATCGTCGAGAGCCAAACCTCGAATTTTGCAATTTTAATGCGCAATTTTCAGCGTTAACTATTGACAGCAATAGTTTTGATAAATACCTATTTCTCAAATGTCTCTCAGCTCGCGTTCACTCTTAATGCTACACATGATCACCAATACATGATCGGATTCCGGAAGCTAACATATTATCTCAAAAATTATGTTTATTTTCTTATTATCCACAGTTGTACGCATAGTGTTTAGTTGTTACAATCGTTTTTTTTAACCAGTGTACGTTAAGATTTAGCACTGTAAGTATACTGTGTAGTTGTAAATAAATAAATAATCCGAACTCATTCACAATAAGTACACACATCATGATTCACTGTTACTAAACTAGCTTGTATGTGAAGTCACCATCAGCATAAAATATAGGTACAGTGTCCCCACTGCTAGGGTACAGGCTTTCCGTATAGATAGAGTAGGGAGAACAGGCCATGATCCAACAAGATGTCCTAGTGCGCATTGATTTTTTTTTGGTACGAATTTCTTTTTGAATCTTGTCAATTTTTCATTATAACTGGCATGCAGGTAGCTTTTACTCACGTTTCTGACGTTGTCTTCTAAGAATGAACCTAGCAGCTCCTGTAGGTGCGTGAACGAAGGCCTAGCATTCGGCTTGTGGGACCAGCACCTCATCATCACATCGTACAACCTGTCATCTGCGTACGTAGGCTTCTCCAGACGATGCCTGTAAAGTCAATATAGAAAATTTTAATTTCATTGTTGCCTCCAAAAGCTGCAAATAGAAAATATTTAAAGACAAAGAGAAGAAGGAATTGTCATAAAGCAACTTGCGCACGCAAATGCAATACACAAGATAATTATAATGCATTTATTACTTCCCAAAGGTTCAGAGGAAGAAGAAATTTTAGCTCCTGAACATTGAAATTAAATAGTAAGTATATTGTCTTAGAGTCACTTACACCAAAACACTCGAATTAAAATTAAGGTTTAATCATTTTTAACGCATCATTTCATCTTTGTCATTTGTATCAATTTAAATAGATATGGAATGAGGCTTAAGCATGATTAGCATTTGAGATAGCAATTTGAGAAATCTGATGAAAGTGAGCCATTTTAATCAGATCGAGTGTGCACCAATAAATAAACTTAAGTCGGACAAACGAAGCTGATATTTTATTTTTATTTCACTGCACCAACCTCTAGTGCCGTGTTCACGTCCAGTGCGACTGTGGAGTACGATTTAAGTAATACAGTGGAACAGCTAACATCTATAAGCCGTAGGGACTGCTTACTATCAGGTTGACCAACGTCTAATATTTTCCTTTAAAAATTTTTAAAGTAGCTTGAAAACATTTTGGATTGGTGGTGTTGTGATAGTCTTAGCGATTAGATATCTATTCAAAACATGTTTGTTAGAAGTTTAACTTTCAGACAGCCACTGCAGTTAGTATTAAGGGCTCATATTGGAGTAGTCTTGGCCAGGGAGAACGTCGCTTAGTGCCATAGCAGCCGCGAACCATCAGAAGAGGTTATAAAAACTTATACTACTAATCTATAATTAGAGGAGCTCGATGGCGCGGGTGAAGGGGTTCGGGTTGAAGTTAAGCAACTTTCGTAGTGGTCGGTCATTGGATGGGTGACCAAAAATCTTCTATATCGAGTTCCTCCGAGCTTCGGAAGACACGTTAAGCCGTTGGTCCCGGCTGGATCTGCAGTCATTAGCACCCGCCAATCCGCATTGCGTCATGTTCCAATGGTCCTATTCCATCCATATGGAAGACCTGTGCCCCAGCACTGGGGACATTAATAGGCTGATGATGATACTACAAATTAATCGCTGATGAGTGGCTTGTTATTGATATTAAACATGTTTGGAGAAGTTTACCCTTCGGAGAGCCACTGCAGCAGATATTGCGGGCTCATGTTTGGGTAGGGCGTCTTAGCCAGGGAGAACATCTCCCACAGCACGATGCCGAACGACCACACGTCCGACTGCGTCGAGAAGATGCGATCCGTCATACATTCTATGGCAAGCCACTTCACTGGTAGCGGGCTCTAAAAAATAAACAGACAATAAAAAAAATACATAAGCACTAATCATAGGAGCTCGATGGCGCAAGGAAGTAGCGCGTTCAATCAGCAATCATGAAAGTTAAGGAACTTTCAAAGTCTTGAGCTCCTCCGTAATTCGGAAGGAACGTAGACTCGTTGAATAACATTAACACTATTTGTTTACCGACTTCAAAACAGAGAAGGTTCTCGACTAGTCGAAATATGAATTGAGAACCTCCTACTTTTTGATATAGTTTAATAATATATCTTCGAGATTTGTAGACAAATTTTACTTTATTTGACTGAGTGATGGAAATGAGAAACAGCTCAGAATAGTATATAACCGTGGATATACTCGAGACTATAAAAACTGCGATACTTTTATAGCTAGGCAATGATATAAACGTAAAGGTAGCCAGGGCGTAAATTATTAGAGATAGTAAAGTCCTCTCAACATATAGAGCATATTAATGGCGCAATTACTCTTGATCGTTAGCCCGAATACGATTGCCTATGGAATTCGGACAAACGACTAATTGTAAATGAACGGAGTCGAGTACGCCTGTTTTCGTTTTGGGTCCCCCAAATGTGGTACGTTCCAACTAGAACGAGGGTGCAGGGTCGCTTGGCCCGTGTTCCAGTACCAAACGTATGTAATTATTGCTTCGAATGCCCGAAACCGTCTAATGTCTTCCTGAAACCTACTGAAACCCATCATGATCAAGTTTTAAGCTTTTTAGTTATCAGAGTACGTACAGTATGAGTTTATTATTATTACCATTATCAATCACATTCGAGCTAGGTGAATCAACGTTTTTAATACATTATTTACAATGTTTTATACTTTATGTGAATAAAGTATGCTTTAATAAAATTACTTAATAATGTATTGTTTTCAATTTGCGTCGATAACTTACTTTGTATTTATATAAAGCATTCATGTTTTACACAACGAAGCTGTTTATAAAGCCATTATCATAATTTTATATTTACACCATGTATATTATATTATTCGAATGCATAATTCATATAGATAAGAACCCACTTCTCTATAAATATTTAATGCATTTTTTTATTTAAAATGGGTAGCAAACAATTATATTATTATGACCTGCTTAATAATAAGAGCATACAAAAGCTTATTATAATCTATACACATATTACAAAGAGGTAAAGTTTGTAAATTGTCAGGTTGTAATGGGTAATCAAAGCTGCATCTAATGAAACGATTTAAAAAAAATCCTTCAACTAATAGAAAGCTATGTTATTTATGAGTGTCGTATGCTGTATATTAAATTCAAAACAGTATATATTACAAAATAAATAAATTTATCGTCTCAAGTGTATTTTGTTTGCAGTAAAAGGGAAAAGTAAGATTTTTCCCTTTTTTTTTACTTTTTTGTTCTGCATATAATTTGGACGAATGGTTTAAGAAATAATCATCTACATAGGTGTGGAATGCGACCGTGACCGGTGCTCCATTTCGAGCGAAATATCACTTTACACCAAAACGGAGCAAACTCATTACGGACGAATTTCTGTTTCACTGGCAATGATAAAAGTAATACAAGTGCTTCTACTGGAAGAAAGAAAACTGATCAGTTTTCTTAATGAAAGACAAAAACACTTTAACTGTGTTCCACTTCCACCCTACAATTGTAGGGTACCCCACTTAGTATTCCACATTCTTAACGGAAGACAGGCACCAGACACAAGGTACCTTTGAGATATTAAAATAGTTATTACAAATTAGAAAAAAACCAAAAAATTACTAATGCTGGTATCAAGTACAAAAAAACATGTTAAGCTTCTGGTGAATACAAATGACCTTCAACTCCTTGTACTCGCACCACATAAGTAAGGAAACGTACGGTTCGAAATATGTATTTTCGAAAAAGTACAGACTTGAGCTTAGAATTAGTTGTTGTCAGTTGTAGGTTGTGGAAAATATACTTTTGGAATGTGACACTGCTATTTTAAGTTGTTAGTAAGAACTTATTTTCTGATTAGAAAAAAAAATGAAATAAAGTCCCAAATGGCAATTTCGTTAACAAGATTAGCAATCATATAATAGATAGATGTTAAATCTTACGTTTTCCTTTTTCTGGTATTCGTCGTTCTTGTAAATGCTTCGAGCAAGGCCGAAATCGCAAATCTTCACTATATTATCTTCAGCTAGAAGCACATTCCGGGCTGCTAAGTCTCCGTGTAACACCTGAAATGTAAGTAATAATAACTATCAAACAAAATTATTTGATTGTTATTGGACTTAGCTCGTATAATTATTTTTTTATGGATTAAAATAAATGAATATGTGCATATTTCTGTATTATACATTGCATTGATAAATGGCACAGAGAATTATCATTACTTCAAAAGTAGTATCAAAATTAAATGCCCGCATTGCCTTTAGCATTATTTTAACTGTCATATTTGCAAGATTTCATCTGGCAGTAAAAAAAAACTCAGTTTATGAATCGTAACTGTCGAGATTCTGCGTATGCAGTTTGTTTCGCATTCTATTCTGGGTGTTAAATAAAAACACAGGATGCTTCAGCGAAATTAAGACTTTCCTGCGAATAGAAAACTTATCAAAGAACGTACAAATCCAAAATCTGTTGAAGGCGTTGGACTTCGAACTTGTCACTACTGCTTCCGGATAACATAGTAGGTACAACAAATTTCAAATGTCCCACCTTTCTGCTAGCTAGGTATTCCATTCCCCTTGCAATTTGGAAGGCCCACGCGAGCAAGTCTCGCGAAGTCAGCGGCCTAGGATTCCTTCCATCAAAACTGTAGTCACTTTCGTAATTTGATCGCCACTCGGGTTGTACATAACCAGTTTCCGATACTGTAAAATAAAATAAAGTTGTGACGTGGAAATTTTACTGACAAGATGATAAATTACATGCAAATCGTGTACATCTTAAGTAGTACCTACTACGTGTGTTTTATTACTTGTGTAAGTAGATAAGACTTTTGATACTTGTAACTACCAGTAAGATACGTTTCAGTAGTTTTTAGCTACCATATCAGACAACATCGTAATTATTTTCTTGAAAAAGCAACACTTTGAAGAAAGTAACTGTTTTTAGCTTACTCGATCGCACTTACGTAAACCTGTTATGGCAACCCATAATGAAACGAAAACGACATTAACTGTTTTTAGTAAACTAAACGCTGATTGTCGGTGGAATACGCAGCTTAGGTAGGTAACTTCATGATGAAACACATACGTTTATGTAAACATATATACTAATGAAGAAGTTTTCAAACTAACACAACGATATGTCATCGAATATGCCACAGAACTCTATTTATATTAATTATATTCATTTAAAACTATATTATTATACATGCTCAGGATGAGAGTATCAAAAATAAAATTTACTTTTTATAATTCATATTTTTTACATTGTAATTAAAAGAATATACGAGTATATCCTACATATTTTTGGACCAAAAAAGTATGTTCCGCTTATATAAATAGATTAATATAAGAACTTCGCAACGATACGAGTACTAAAACATAATTATTGCGTAATGGAAAATTTGCGTGCAGACTTTTAAACCTGTATTTAACTATATTGGTAAGTGAAAAAGTACAAATGTTGGATATGGACAAAATTAACATTATTATTAGCTTTGTCATTTCGCTGAAAGGTGTTTCTAGTGTTAAACCTTAAATACTTAGGATCACACTTAGCTACTTGGCTAGAGGATTAAAACAAAGACCTGAATAAAATGAAGACATAATACTAAGTATATGAATAATTTATGCTTCACGACTAGGTATTAGTTTATATCTTATATTTAAGGAAGAATAATATTAGGAGTTTTGTTAAACGCCTTCTTATTTATCATTAGCTCAATTTATTTTTATTGTTTATGTTTTATAGATAATATAATTCTCCTTACACGTCTCAGAATAATGACCTGAGAATCATATGTAGCTAATTTATCAAACAACGCATTGACTGATTGATAGGGAATACTAGAAAATGACCAAGTGTGAGACGGACTCGCGCACAAAAGATTTCGTACCATCGTGCAATGTTAATTGTGCGAAATTTAGTAAGGATTACTTAGATTGAAATAAAAAGGGAAGATACGGCGACCGCGGCTCTAAAGTGATCCGCTTAAATTGTGGTGCATGACCATAATTCGCTTTCGTCACAATAAAATTGGAAATTCAAATAGGTTGCATGTGCACTCAATATACATAACAATATTGCGTATACGTTGTGTTATGAAGATAAAACAATGCCTTCGATGCTTTTATAAAGAACACAAATAGTTCAAAATCAAATGCCTCACCTTTTTAAAAACATTTTTTGTCAAAAATCACGGTTTGTCGTAAATGTTATTTACGTAATCGCCATTTTGTTATCAAGAAAAGGACAGGACGGAAAGGAGAGCAATATGCTGCATTGAAGCGTACAGTTCTGTCTCGCTCGCTCAATGGAATGTTTATTATACAGACGTGTGCGTGTGTGAGAGTTACTTATGTAGTTGGATCATATTTTATTTTATGCCTGTATGAGCGTACCGTATCTTCCGTTTTTTTTTAATCTAAGAAGGATTATGAATAACTTTTCACGTGCATATATATACACGATTGTTCACTATTCACTGTCAACCAAAGTTTAGATATAAAAAACTTTTGCTTTTTTTTGTTATTAGGTATTGTCGCAAAATGCAGAAGGTGAGATTTACAACCGTGCAAGAGATAAGATAAAGAACACACAGAGCATATAATACAGCCAGATTGCGTAACCGTTTACCTTTCACAAATTCCTCTTGCTGATTTTGTTTATCTAGACAAAAAAAAAGAGATAACGCATAAAATCACAGAAAAGGCTCTTATTTATAAATGTTTTGAGATGGTCGAATTACTAGTTATATGTTATTAATTCAACGTTATCATATGATGAAGGCAACTATAGCACTAGTCATGTGACGTTAATTAATATTCCAACCATTTTTAAGTTCAATCAAGTCATCAACCATTTTTAAGGGTTACAAATATATTGATTGAAAATTCACCATTTTTAATTTTATTTTTGTTAAACATTAATATTTTATTTACCTTTTCTGCCCGATCTGTTGGTGTTTGCAGTATTCAAGGCGGTATGGTATGTTGCTTGAGTGTGGTTTGTACCAAAGTAATCAGAGTTTATTCTGAAATATAAGTTTTTAGATTAAGATATTACAACGTTAAGTAAAAATACTAATTAACTAAAGTCGTAGGTTTTCAAAAAAAGGTAAATAAATGATAGCATATATTTTTACAAATTAAGGCATTCTGGAAACGTAATTACAGTTCTACTTAAATAATAAGACTACAGATTATGACGAAAACTACCAAACGTATTTATATATAATCATTATTAAATACATTGTCAACCAATAACTCAGCAGTGTCTAATTAAACTTTGTACTTTGGCGACTGACTAAGTGAGTGAGAGTATACATGACTCAGTTTTAAATGAGCATCGTTCACAAACATAATGTAATCATTCTTTAAAAAAAAGAAGTGTAGATTTGTAGGTACATGCTAATTGGGTTGATTTTAATCTACGATAGCAGATAAAATACTAAGTTCAAAATAGACTTTACGAACCCGCTACTGGCACTGCTGCACGAATAGCCTTTATTGACCTTTCCGAGGTTCTTCTCTTTGTTGTCCGTAAACTGATCGATGAAAACTTCACGGTGCTTCTGCATGTAGTTATGAATGTTGCCAAACTTGCAGTACTCGACAATCACGATCAGTTCGCCTAAGAAGAAAACCACATTAATACTGTTTTAACTTATTGGTCACAAGTGGCCTACCCTCACTTCACTTCGGTGTAGACTATAGTTCTTGTTCTATGGCACTCACAAATAATGTGGCTTTCTATTGATAGACCCATGGTCATTATGCACCCATTCCGCGACGCCCCCGACCGGGACGCACCCACAGTGAAAATTTTGCTATTCCGCTACGCCCCCGGCCGAGATGCACCCGTTTCTTATTTTCCAAGATACTTGAGAGGAGTACTGTTGTGGACATAATTGTTAAAAAGTATTAGTAGGTTAATGCCTACGTATATCTATCTACAGACAATGTGGTAGGTTTTTTTTGTTTAATAATTTTATATCTTACTAATTAATAATCACTTTCTAATTTGTGTAATCATTTATTATTAATTGCCGAAACCACTTGCATATTTGCAATATTCGATCATGAGAGAATGGGTCCAGGTATCTTATCAAAGACTCGTCGGAGTTCAGGTAACCTACACAATAGGAGAGCAACCCTTTCACTGTTATCGTTCAGTGTTCATTTTTACTAATGTATTATTATTATTTGTGTATAATTTAGTTTTTATTTTTTAAATACATTGTTAAAAACTTATCCTTACAAATTTTTAATAAAATGGCAAAATGAAAATAATTAAATTTAAAATCTGCTGTCTGTAACTGTATTGTCTCGAGTTTCCTGTCAAAAAACGGGTGTTTTAAAACGAGTGCAGCCCGGCCGGGGGCGTAACGGGTTTAACAAAATTTTCACTGTGGGAGCGTTCCGGTCGGGAGCGTCGCAGAATGGGTAAACGTCAACGGCCGGACCTAAAATAATTTTTAGGTTCGGCCGCAAATTTTTAGGTTTCGCAAGTTTAGCACGGAACAGACGGCATTCTTTTACCGTGGCTAGCGAGATTACTTACTTTGAGTATTTTAGCAAAACCTATATTGTTCAGCTCGGGCATACTCGGACGAAGCGACTGTACTCGAGTATTAAAAATTAAAAATCTCTTCGGCGGTATCATGGGACGCGGATCGTTACGCTCCCTAAAAATGGTTGAGCGAAGCGATGGCTGGTTCATGCGTCATGCTCGGGGACGGGTGCTGCCAGCGGAGATGAGTCTGCTCTTGCTACATTGGATACTATTTATCGTTGTATTTAACTTTAATCGTACATTTCTTTTTACGCCTAAACAGGACACGGCATTCCTAAACTTTTTTTAGATCTGTTTTTTTTATATTTTTTTATTTTATAGTCATAATTGTTATATAATTTACATTTGTAATGGATAGTGACTTCATGAGTTATCTCATATTGAAGTCATTTTTCAATTTGAGGACTCTGTATGTAATACAGGGAGAAAACAACAGAGCCCTTGCCGGTTCTTCTCAATACAAGGTCTCCCGCCGTAGATTTGCAAACCGATGGCGTAGTAGTTCGACATTCACAAGTGCTTTTAACAGCCTAGACTGAGTAAACGATTTTGAATTTATTTGGTTACCCCCGCATTTGATAAAAGTTAGCACATATCCATATATTTATATATCCAAAATAGCATATCTACTGACCTTTATATGTATACCCCAAATAAAGTAAATTTATGTCAGGATGCTAACTTAGCGCCATTGTGACGGGCACCGTAAAACGTGTGTTTAATGATTTCAAAAGTCGTGCTCATATTGTGAAACTATAGTTCCTACTTACACTTGTACGATTTGAACGGGTTGTGAGACAGCAAATAAATTAATTTATTTTATGGAAGTTTTTAACAGATCACTAGTAAATCTGACTAGTAAAAATATGAATTTACTAATTATAAATTGAGGATAATTATGTACCTAGGAAGTTAATCAATCTAGTATACCTAATATTAATAGTGACTCATAATAATATTAAATATCAGTTACAAGTTTTACTATAAATAAATATCGTGATACCCCGCTATATTACAAAGTATGATGACTAGGAGATGACTCACAGTCTCAAGTAACAATTTATCAAGCATCAAGTTGTAAGAAGAGCCTTACACGAGCTAAGATAATACCTATATATTCTAAAGTAGATCCCTATATGAAAAATGAGACGCTTGTCACTACATTATATTCTAAAACAAAGCCCCGCAGCGTCTACGAGTATCACATCGTATCACAGACCTATATTTAAGAAGATGAAGCATGGACCCCGGCCATCTGTTTCAATTCTAACGTATATGACAGAACAGAAGAGAAACAAAGGTAAATAAAAGGTTTCTTTATAGTTCAGATTTAATAATCGATTTTGTTTGTTTAAATACAATTACAAATAGAATTTATCCTGTTCACTTTTTAATTTAAGGATTGTTCAAATATTATCTCAACTTCTATAACCAGCACGCTGTCATTACAGCCTACAAAGAAAACATTGTGTTACATTGCTGAATGCAAAATATCTCTTTATCTAGCCGAATATTTCAAAAATAAACAGCACTAAACCTAAACACTATTTAACAAAATAATCACAGCTGTGACCACAGGCTTGTTGATAGCACGCGTTTAATGATACGCAAAGCAGGTACACAGATATTGCTGGCGCGTCCACACTTAGTATGAGGGAACATATCAATCAAGTACCTAGTATCAAGAAATCGAAACACGACTTCATCAAAATATGTCGAAGTGCTGCGTCGAAAAAATTAAACCGCCGAAAAGTATTTTTTTTTATCTTTAGTCAAATTAATATTTGAATAAATTTTGGATTTACTAATTTTGTTGTCTAGCACCGACGCTAGACAACAAAATTAGTAAATGGGAACTCAGATTTATCAAACATGCACGGCACCGCCTCAAAAAAGATTTTATTTTATAATTTTTTCTGACATTTTTTTTTGTAATATGCAACTCGGCATCAAAATCTTGCGTGGTCAAACATAAAATATACGCGTTGACTTGAGAAACTACTCCGTTTTATTTTCATCGCTTAATAAAATTAACAAACACGGCCAACTGATAGAGACTTGCGGCACTTAACTAACTGATAGAGACTTGTGGCACACAGCCATGCTGTGTTGTTGTTTTTTTCTAGGGAATTTTAACAATCATACATATTGTGAGGTAAGTCCTTTTATTACGGATGAATTAATTCAATAACTAGTCCATGTAAAATTATCCACACTTTTTTTTAGAATGGGTGGAAATTTTCAACTCAGTTAACTTTATGGAATCATCTTAGAATGATAAACTCACGTTTTCCAACATTTTGCGTGCAAGCACCCAGCAAGTTGACGATATTGACATGCTTTCCCATGTGTACCATGATCTTAAGTTCGGAAGCAAGAGCTTTGATGTACATATTGTCGGCTGTCTTCTTGACCATTTTCACTGCGACGGGAGTGGTCTCTTCCGCGTTAATGATACCACGAGCTTCTGCTTTGTACACTACACCAAACGCGCCAGCACCCAACTGCTTGCCTAAATCCAGCGACAAAGAAAAATCACACATTAATCTTAAATAAGGGCATTAAAGCACAAAACAGATAGTACAGAAGGTAATCTACATACAAAGTGCGCTCGAGCAACGCACACACGACGTGATATCTCGGACAGGTTGGGACCTCTGCTACGCCAGCAGTGCCATCCGCTTGAGAAATACGTCTATGAACTTTTTGTTAAAAAATAGACATTTTTTTAAATTTTATTATAACTATTGAGTGGACTAAATTGAACATTCAAAAGTGAATTGTCGGTTTTTTTATATGTAATATAACAATAACATGATAGTTTGAATGCTTTAGTTATTATTTATTTATATTTCCATTCTTCCTGTTCATTTTCTCAGCAATAAATCAAACATTTTGAAGGTACAGAATACTAGGATTTACAATAGTAGGCAAACAAATTTCGTTTTTTTACATAGAATAACGTCACAAGATATCTGCATAAATCACCCGAATATTTAAAAAAAATAATAACAAAAAATAATAAATACGAGTGCGGGATTTGAACCGACGACCGCGATGATGCGTCGAACGTTAGTCCCGTGGCAAAAATTTAACACACTGCGCCGCGCCGTTTTTGGTCGATATTATTATGGCGAAAATTGTGTTCTATTGGTATATGCACTCTCGCAAGGTTTTTTCGTTACAGAATTTTTTGATTCGGTCCCCGCGTTCAAAGCCCGCGATAAAAGCTATACAATAGCTTAAAAAAGACAAAATCGGATAACTTAAAGGCATTACATTACAGAACATTATGTTAATTACCGAGTGTAAGTTTTTCTGGTGGAAACTCAAACTTCTCGTCATATGGCAGAAGCTCTGCTTGTTCGTCAATTCCAAGGTCTGGATTCAGTGTCCCTGTGCCTTTTTTGAAGTTCCACAATCCAGCGGCAGCCAACTCCTTCCTAAATCTCTTTTCCTTTCTTATTTTCCATGTCAAGTATATGACCAAAATGATCAGTATCAATATGACTACAATGACAACGCTTAAAATAGTGGACTTGTACGGCATCGAATCTGTAATGATGTAATATTTTTAACTAGTTGACTCGGCAAACTTCGTAACCGTAATATTTATCTTTAATAAATACAAACGTTGTCCTGACTGACAAAAAAAAACAAAAAGGTAAAATAAAGGTGTACAGAATAAGTGAATTTTATATATTTTATTAAAATTACAAAAGAATTGAACAGGGTATTATATTAATTTTTAAACTGCTACATTTAATAATCTAAAGAAAATATTAACTAGAAATAAATGTCACTCTGTTCAGAAAATTCCGCCCAGATTGCGGAAGGTTCGAATCCAGTCTGAAACCTGGATTAAGCATTTTTATTTTAATAAATATTTTCTTAAGAATTATACATCTCAATTAATTATTTCATAATATAACAATTATAATCTGCGTTTAAAAAACGGGTTAGAAGTATACGGTGACATTGATTTACGAGAAGCATGATTTCACAAGGATTGTTTTATATTGGTACCTATCTGATATATCCTAATAAATACCAAATGACACTCCCATTTCAACATTAATAAATATTGAATAGAATCACACGAAAGTCATTATAAGTTTTTGAAACTATACTTTCATTCGCATTTAATGGATAAGATATGTTGTTATTACTAACCTTTCATAATCAAATTCACAAATTTACTTTTATGATAATTCTTAGTGTGATAAATTACCACACATTCATATTTGCCTTTGTTTGTTTCATTCATTCTTTCTATATAAATTGTAGAGTTAACAACAGAGTGGTTTCGCTTAACGTACATTACCAAATCATCAGTTTTATTTTCCAATAATTCTCCGTCCTATAAAGAATACTTTATTAAATTTTATTATATCTTATACGAAGTTCAAAGTATCTGTGGATCGAATAATGTTAATTCGAAGATCTTTAGGAAGCTTGGACAAAATAAATAAGGAAAAGATAGTTTACTTATTAACGTGGTTTGTGATTCATTTCTATATACGCTTCTGCAGTGAAAGAACTGTAATAAAAGTTTAAGTAGAAATTATTTCTTTTTTACCTTATGCCATTCTACTTCTGGTATCGGTATAGCATCAGCTGCACAACTAAATGATACTTGTTGGAACAACCTCACTTCTTCATCTCGATCAATTATAGGCTCAATAAACACTGGCTCCCGCATTTCTGAAATAACATATACAACTCTTTGTAGTGTCTTTAATTATAAAAATACAAGATAAACATGATAAGTTATTTACAATACTTTTGAAAAAATACATGCCTTCAACAACAATATCAGTAGTTAATTCTTCTCGAGTTCCATTTAAATTATATCCAACACACGTATATGAACCAGCTTGCTGCATGGAAACTTGGTTTATTTTCAGTTTTGCTACATGCGAAAATGGGCTTTGCGAATATTGCACTGTAAATATTAAACAAGGGATTAGTTCAAATACTTACGCCAGTGTTTACAGTTACGAATATTTTGTTACTTAATACGATGTACGAACCATATTCCGCCAGATCATCGTCATTTGGTCCGTACCAAGATGAGTTTGAGAATTTATAAAACGAAGCCAAGCATCTTATAGAGACCTCCTGATTCTCGGGATACCATTCCTTCCTATTTTGAATACCAAATCCGTTTGATATTTCATATATAAATAACTGTATAGAAACAAAATCTGTGCCATTCGTATTTGAAGCAGTACATGTTATGTTGCCAGAATTGTAAGCGGTTATTTTTAATTTCGAAATAACTTTGTACACGGATTGCTTTTCGTCAATTCCAGGTATCTGTAAATTTACAAGTAGGTATGTTTTATATATTGAATCCTTCTGTTACGTACCTTTTTAAAAACCGGATTCTTTCTTGTTTCTTATAAACGAGTTTTTTACTTACAGGATCACCGTTAAATTTCCATTCAATAAATGGTAGCGGATAACCGAGTGCCTCACAAACTAAGGTTTTCTGAGTGTTCACCAACAATATAATATCCTGACTTTGCCGAAATGAGACTTTTGGCTTATCTGTGTAAATATTTACATGCAAAAAAAAAAGTTTTTTGTCATTGCTAAATTTTCCTCAATCTATGAAGATATAAATATATATTTTTATGTTATTTGTTATCCAGGCAAATGCATAAGTCATTATGCTACTGAAACCTTAACGGAAGAGCATTTTTTTTCTATTTCCTTAGGCTGTAAAATAGTACAAACACCATTTCTTCACATTATGGACAGAAATAGCAAATACAACTAAAGCAAATTGCAAAAATCAAGATAATATTAATGTATTTGCATTAATTATCACGTACAATGGATTATATAATATAAATTTTGAAGAGTAAAAACTGAGTCGATTTTTATTATCAATTCATAGCAATTTACTGGGCTTTCGATGTAAAACGACGACATTATAATGTATCTACTTTAGTAATTTTGATCGAATAAAAATCATTAACTCAAATATAATTAAGTATATTTTAAATTAGATTTCAATATATTTATATAATTGACTACGAAACATGAATAATAACTGTATCGGAGTTTGTTACCTGTTTTCCTCAAATCATACGTAACTGTTTTTGTTACGTAGCCGTTAGTTCCTTCAATCGTATAATTCGCCGTGTCGTTCACATTTAAATCAGTTATTGTTAGAGCTAGGTCACCGGTCAAACGCTTAATGGTAAGTTTATACTTGGAATTATTCACTTGCAACGGTTCATTATCACGATAACTGAAATAATGATAAATTACACAAATTTATCCAAATCACTCAGTTCGAAACTTAGCGAAAAACTTTTATGTACGTACACCATGATGGCTGAATAATAGATAAATAATCCGTTCGGCTGCCTCAGCATGATCAAGTAAAAACCAAACTCGATAATATTATTGAATGATCAAACGAACTTACCTAATAGTCCAGTCAAATTAGGCATTTGACTGAGGAATAATTCGCATAGAGCTGAAAATTGGCAGAGACGTTAAATACATAATTATTATTAAAATGTCAAAAATCCCCTTTGATCCTACTTCTGCAAAGAAAAATCAAGGTCAAACGTACAAAATTATGGGTTCTTCCATTTTTCTCGAAAACGGTAAGTTTTATCTTAATAAATAGGTCTGAAAAAAGTTGTAGACCATACAATTCTCTACAAAAATGGTCCCGTCTCTTTTTGTCTCACGACACACCATTCGTGAGATATCACGGTTTTTAATAATTAGAAAATTCATTTTTTAACATAATATGCACACATTTCTGCACCACCTATGTACTTGGCGGATTTTTTTAACGTGGTTTCCCCAGTAGGTATACTCCACGATCTATTGTAATAAAGAAAGTTGGATCAGATCGTATCCTATTGATTGAAAGAATTGTTATATTGCTAATGATCAAAGTGGAACCTATTCCATAGAAACAATCTATTGTTTTCTTCTAAATGTTATTATATTAGATAAAGTGTCTAATTCTTCTCCGAAAATTATTTCTTCGTCTTCATTTTCTTCGTCTTCATTTTCTTCTTCTTGCAGAATTTCTATTCCCTGTTCTAAGAAAAGGGATTCATCAATATCATAAATAATAAATTCTGTTAATTAATATATTATTAGGTATAATTATTTCTCTTCATTAGTATCATATTTTTTGTTATTTATTTTTAGAAACTTTCACATTACATTTTCATCTGTTGTATTTTTTTTAATATTGGAGCAAGTTCTGGAGGTATATGTTAATTTCCAACCCCATCCTTCTGGGTCCAGCTCATTACCTAGCCACACTTGAACTTGATAATACACACGATCATCATCATAATCATAATCGGTATTGCTTCATGTTGGTACATACATACATGGGTTCTTAAATTTAAAATGAGGATTCGCAACATGAGCCGTGCAAGGACATTGCAAAAAATTTCATATATTCTAACAAATATTTACAGTTGAAAGGCAGAAACAGATTTTGGAGGCAGACAATACCAATGAACTGTTTTATTTTTCTCTCCTCAGAAAGATATTATAACAGTTATTGTGGTACTTAGCTTCAGCAGTAACTAACTCATTATGTAAAATATGAATTTTCTAATTATTAAAACGGCGATATCTCACGAATGGTGAGTTGAGAGAGAAAAAGTGACTGGACCATTTTTGTAGAGAATTGTATAATCTACAACTTTTGTCTGACCTATTTTCACGATAAAACTTACCATTTCCGAGAAAATTTTAAAAGAACCATAATTTTGTACGTTTGACCTTGAATATTTTTTTTTGCAGAAGAAGGATCGAAGACATTTTATTAATAATGATATATTTAACGTCTATGCCAATTTTCAGCTCTATTCGAATTATTCCTCAGTTATGACTTATTTTTGTCAATTTTAACTGGACTATAAGTGAAGTTCGATCTGAATTATCCTGTCATCGCCGAAGAGATTTATTTTTCTTTACTATGTAGTACCCTCAGTACGACCAGCCAGGCCGCAATCAGTTTAGAGCGTAGTAAATAAAAAAGAGGGAGGTATTCCCTCTCTTCACCTTGCCCCGCCGCCACTTCTTGTCGGTTCGTTCGATGCTCATATATTTTAGAGAATAAGAGACAACATTGACGATGTAATCCTAGATAACTAGGGGATAAAAAATATTAGGGTGGGTGGGATCCTAAATCAAATCGGTGATAACAGGACAATTCAGATTGAACTTCACTTAGGTAAGTTAGTTTGATCCTTCAATTGTCCTGTTATTGCCCAAGAGATTTATTTTTCTTTACTATGTAAATATTCAAAAGGTCAATGTTGTTAAGAAATCAATAGTTTATTATCCCATATAAATTAAAATAAATCATATTCATGATTGCTTTTAGATACTTAGTTCCAACATGCACTGAGCTTTGCTAATTATATTATAAACATGGTTGCTAGATAGATTTGCACTTTTTATTAACATTAAACTTCTGCAAAGTTTGCTTTATCTATAGAACAATGGTGTTCGATGAAGCAGCTCTGTGAGTTTTTTTATTTTTTATTATTATTTTTCATAATTAGTGAGCCTAGCCCCAAAGTAAGCACTGTAGGCTTGTGATCTGGGATGCTAGGGTAACGGATAGAATACATATTCTGTTCATATATTAGTATATATATGTATAGAAATATGTATTAAACATCTATGACTGGAATACAAATGCTCGCATTCATCACACAAATATCTAACCCCTGTAACATATAAACACCAAGAGTAACGGAAGAGCAAATTCCCGGATCACTATAACATAAGACTAGGCGGCAGCACTGTCTAAGCATGCCTAAATAAAATAAAGAAATCAATTTGATGTATAGTAGTTCTTATTAAATTTCTTATAAAAATAATTGTCTTCTCCTTGTATGGAGAAAATTAGGAAATATTATTAAAGTTTTATTTTTAATTGTACTTATGGATCTTTATAATTATTTAATTAAATAAATATGGATCTATATTTATCTTATTTATGGGTTTGGATTATTTTGAGAATAAATATTTTAATACAGTGCTTATATTTCGAGTTACATTGTGATAGTGAAAAGTTGATTTAAATTTGAAGGACCATTTGAAAAATCTTTTCATCCTTGGATCCTAATCTTCTATACTCGAGAGAAATGAATCCGGGTCACATAAAGAATCCTAAAAATCTCGCAAACTAAGAATGCTAGGTTTAATGAAATAAATTGTGTTTAATAGACAATTAAATACTCCTTAAATGAAAGAAATAAAATTTATGAGTTACCACATTTTATTTACAAAAAAATACACAAAGAAAAAATCTGGCTGATCTCGCCTTAAAACAAAAATAGGAATCATGTCATTTTTGAACAACATAACGATTTTCTTGAATTTTAATACTTCGTATTGCCTCCTCATGCTTCTATTACTGTGTGTACCCGGTTTGGCATGCTGTACACCAAGTTCGTTATTCGATTTTTGGAACATTCTCCCATTCCTCTCGCTGCTTGCTCTGTGAGAGCAATTTTGAGCTCACAAAGCGTAATTGGGGGAGGATTTCGTTGTTTTACGCATCTTCCTAGCTCGTCCCAAGCATGCTCGATCGGGTTGATATCCGTGCTGTGTGCTGGCCACTCCATACGAGTAATATTCGTAGTAATAGTCGGGCATTGCCATGCATAAAAATAGCATCCTCACGCAAATTGTCCATAAATGGACCAACGTGTTCATTCAATATTTCTTCCACATATCTTTCGCTAGTTAAAGATAGTTTTGCACGTTTCAATATTTGACCTTCATTTAATCACAATAAAGTTCAAGTAATAATAAAGTCACTTATTCTGATTTCTCTCTCACATTTTACTGTTTCGTAACTAACGACTTGGACGACATTTATTCTCAAAAATCACTCGTGGAACTGATTTTTATTCGACTACGTGCGGTTGTGGCGCGTGCGCACAAAGGAATGAGCATCGTACCGATGAGCAGCGGTGGCGGGGTGTGGTGAAAAGAGGGAACACGTCCCACTTTTTTTACTACGCTCTAAACTGGTAAGAAAATTAAATCTCGGAGGCGATAACAGGACCATTACATACAGTATTAGTAGAATAAACATCTATCATTTGTGATAATTCACCCCCATTTTTGATGTTAACGAGGGCCTAGGATAGCATGACCAGTTTTAGAAAGCCAGAGTTAGTTTAGACCATAGATGGGCAATCTTTTTCCTTAGCGTGCAAAAATAGTTACTATCAAAATCTACAGCGGGCCAAGTATGGTTAATTTTTTACTGCTTGTTTTCTTTGAAATAAAAGAGAGCCCTGGAAAGGACATACTATTTATCCAAGAAATCACCTTTTAAGGGAGTTAAAAGTTTGTTGGGAAATATTTTTTTCTACACAGACGAAGTCACGGGACACGGGCACCCACTAGTAATAAATAATGGTCAAATCAAAATATTATTTGAAGTATGCCGCGAAGTAAGTACCAGATACAACGAACAAAAAAGACCGGGGTGGTCCTTGTCGGAACATGTACCAAAATGGTTGTTTTGGTCGATCGAGTCATGAACAGGTAGTTGGTGGGATTTTCCTTAGATTTTTGTTTGATGGTCACGGGTCGTTGTTTGCCCATTCTTGTTTTAGACTCTAGTCGCTGGGTCTAGCGGATGACACAACATAGACTTATACATTATTCTAGCTATGAATGAGTTTTTTAATAAACTTACACACTGAATTTAGGTGGAGGGTACGCGCTTACTTCTACTGTCATTGTCATTATCTTCACTTTAGTCTCCAGGATCGCATCTTCATTACTTTTCTTCAAATTTAAAAAAGGTTCATCTGCAAAAAAAAATATTAAACGACCAAAGTGATTATTTTATGGAATTCGTGACTATAACTTGTTAGTAATGCATTCCAAGTAACTTTATGCGAATCATTTCTCCCAAAACTAAATACCATGACTTGGTAAATCAACATTTTAAAAAAATATGGGTGCGTGTACTTAAGTACGCGCGTGAGAAGTTATACTTCTTTTTGAAATTATTAAAAAATAGTTTTTTCATCCCACCACCTCGGAAAGTGTAATTTTGCGCTTCGAAATCTGGCTGGAAAATTCTATTTTATTCGCTTGAGCGGCAAAGTAGATTTGAATTTAGAACATCACATATAATGAGTACTCAATATAATTGTAAATTCAAAACGTCATTAAACCTATTTAATGTAACCTCTATGGTGCCAAATTTATGATTAGAACTTTTTAAATTGTGAAAAAATTTAAATTTGGAACCTTCTTGGTTTCTTTGTTTTATTTGCGTGCTTCGCGCCATTCTAGTTTTTCACGTTTTATTGCTTAAATATTTTGTCATTATAAATTGTTTTCTTTTTCATTTTGTCATTTCCTCGCTGAGGTGGGATGAAAAGTTACGTATTGCACTCGAGTGGAAAGATTTTTCACCTTGTGCTCGTTTGTTTCCCTCGCTGACGCTCAGGATTCTAATTTAGAATCACTCGCTGCGCTCGTGATTCAACTTTAGAATCCTTCGCTTGCTCGGTCATCCAAATCGAGCACGCGGTTAAAAAGGAACTTTCCACTCTTGTATAATAAATAACTATTAATTGCATGCAAATAATTAATTACAATAAGATAATAAAAGGATTGGAAAAGGATAGTCAACGCAGTCAATAAAGTTCAGTTTTAATTTGAAAAATTTAATAAATAATCAAAATATTCAATTTAAATCACTACTGAATAAAATTTATTAGCACATATAAATTTCGCATTTGTATAACATTATAACACGTGTTAAGAATATAGAAACTAGAAACATGTGGATAAATATTATAACTATGAAAACCGTGATCAGAGGCGACGAGCGTCCCAACATGTGCGACTAAGAGATCCTATTACTATTTTGTTGGAAGCTTTTTTTCGAGACTTACGAGTAATGTGCGGTTTAGCGGCCGACTTCATGGTGTTACTTTTCTGTTACAGTGTTGCGCGCGCATCTTAAAATTTCACTCTCATCATTTTTTCATAACGCGCCCGCGGCTAACTTCATTATGTTACTTTTGTGTTACAGTGATGCGCGCGCATCTTAAAATTTCACTCTCATATTTTTTTCATAACGCGGCTAAAGAAGTATAACTTCAAAAAGTCTTGTGAAAGTGCTACCCACTAACGAAATTTAATGCTTACTTACAAACACACGTTCTCAATATTTGAAAAAGAAATTTGCTGCGATTTTAGGAAAGTATTGATCTTGTGTAGTTTTTCAGATCGTTGTTGTTTTGAAGCTCAACATTTAACTCTTGTAGTAATTTCTGCCTGTTATCGTCCACATTTGGAGTCAAATGACATTACCATGATAGTTTCACTATTGATTAAATAACGTAATGCCGATGATGGCGTTGCGACAGTCGCTCAGTAACAAGACGACAGCATGAAATATATTTTTAAATTCTAGTATACTATTTGTTGTAAAATCGTGAAGATGGAAAGGGCAAGCAATAATATCACGAAAATACATCTAATTCATTCTTAAAATTCGTAAAAAGTAGGAGACGTAAATTATTTTTGGTATAATGGTAAGTGGTTCAGTATGATCATCACATTTTGTATTGTTTGGATATTAACGATATTTAATTCATGTATAAGTGTGATTTCTTAAACATGTATATTTCGAAAGTTTTAGAAACCTGATTCCTTTTTTAATATAAATACAAGCAGTAATTTACAAAGACCTACTTTTAAAGTGAAACTTTTATTGCATCGACGCAAATTTGTTCGTTCGTCTTAAGCATGTCGCATTACATATTTGATTGTTAAAAAATCAGACTTTATCAATAAACTCGACTCACTTTATCAACAACTCAGACTCGTTTTGATAGTTTACCTTTTTACTTTTAAGTAAAAAAAAAATGCAAAAAAATACTAAATCGTCAAACGTCATCGTGTGCCGTAGTGATAATGAAGCAAAACAACTCGATCAGAAATGAGGATGTTTAGAAAAATTTACGTCACCAGTTGGCGACATTGTGACAAAAGGTCTTTTGTGTGAAGTTTTTGGCGCGAATTAATTGAACAATCGTTTAAATTAATCCATAGACGATATATGTGATTTGACGGATGAGTAGACCTTTCGTCTCATGAAGCCACCTAGCACACGTCATTCCAGAAAACCTCATTGGTACTTGCCTATAAAGATTTTTTCTGTGCGTTCGATTTTCTTCCTTTCCAGTCCACCACTCAGTATGCAACTGTAATATCCTTCATCATCCTTGGTAGCATTAATGGCTGTGATGGTGTTGAACAAATTTTCACCGGGGGTAACGTTCAATTCATTCGAAACATTAATGAATTTGCACTACGAAAAGGAAAATAATTTTTTTCATAATATCGATAGTAGCCGTAGATCAATAATACGTATTATAGTAGTAGTAGTAGTAACTTTAAAATTATTCGAAACTACGCGCAACCTGTTTGAACCTCTAGCAATAGACTGTTAACCTTATTTACGACTAGACTAGTATATAAATACTAGACTAGACTAAATAAATATCTTTTTAATGCATTTGCTCGGAAAGTTTTTCAGGTTCTACAAGTGTGCGATTTTTTTTTTTATTTCATGCTTGAGCTGCGCCCTAGCGGCACGCAGCATCGCGTTCATTTGATTTTCTTTTTAACAAACTGCTTTCTATTTGCAGATCATGTTCCCATGTTTTGGAGTAAAAGATAATTCCACTTTTAAATTACACGATCAGTGGTCAAGAACCTACCAATTTTTCTATATGAGAGATCAAAGGCGGATCCAGGGGGGGGTCATGGGGGTCATGACGACCCCGCCCTGGGCTGGGTCCATCTGTACCCACTTTACAATCTGTACATCCAATCTGTACCCACTGTGACTTGATCACGACTATATGACCCCCCCTGGCGCCAAAGCTGGATCCGCCCTTGTGAGATATAGATATAACATAAGAGATATGGGCTCTTCCCTACCGAAATGCTACGATTTATCCACGATTTCTGGGAGTACATGGAACTTTTCCGGATTTTTCTACTGATTTTACTCTTCTAAGTTAGCAGCCCTTTTCATTTATGTTTAACGTTACGGGATCATTCAGCAGTTAAATGTGTTATATACACTTAGTTATTGCTAAAGGTGAGATATTAATAAAGTATCATATCGTGATGCTTTATAAATTATAATGTTATTTTTCTGCTATAATCATCATCATCATCAGCCTATTAATGTCCCCACTGCTGGGGCACAGGCCTTCCCTATGGATGGAATAGGGAGATTGGGCCATGACCCACCACGCAGGCCTAGTGCGGATTGGCGGGTGCTAACGACTGCAGATGCAGCCGGGACCAACGGCTTAACGTGCCTTCCGAAGCACGGAGGAACTCGAGATAGAAGATTTTTGGTCACCCATCAAATGACCGACCACTGCGAAAGTTGTATTACTTCAACGATCGCAGCCGAACGCGCTAACCACCCGCGCCATCGAGCTCCTCAGTCCTCCTCTAATAATTATAATTATATCCCAACAATTAATATAATAATAATAATAATAAATAATAATAATAATAAATATTTCCAACACTCACACCAATTAGCCTAGCCCCAAAGTAAGCACTGTAGGCTTGTGTTATGAGATGCTAGGGTAACGGATAGAATACATAAATTGATACATATATAAGTATATTTATATAGAAATACATATTAAACATCCATGACTGGAGTACAAATGCTCGTATTCATCACACAAACATCTGCCCCCACCGGGATTCGAACCCGGGACCTCTCGAGATGGCCACACCTTGAAACCCGGCGTATAAACCACTCGGCCACGGAGGTCGTCAATATAAATAATATAACAGTTAATTGATTACAATGCGATTATTGTTGATTATATGACTACTTGTCACACTTTGTTCGTTCGACTACTCAGATAATAATCTATTATATAATAAAATGGGTTGAAAGTCATAACTGCACATTTAATATTTTTTTAAAAGAATAATTGGGGTGTGATCTAAGGTTGATACCGAAGCCAAAAATATAGAAATTTTAGATTTTTTGTCTGTTTGTCTATTTATCTGTATGTATGTCCGGGATAAACTCAAAAAGTACTGCATGGATTTACTTCAAATTTGGCACGAATATTATTAAGAAGTCGGGTCAACTTATAGGCTACATATTATTATGCATCATATCACCTACGGGGAACAAGCAGTGAACGTTTATTTTTAACTAACTCCACGCGTACGAAGTCGCGGGCGGCCACTAGTAACTAAATACCTGTCGTATGTTAACGCAAAATATTATCCGAACTACTAATATTATAAATGTGAAAGTTAGTATGTGTGTTACTCAATCACGCAAAATCTACGCATAGAGTTTATGGCCTGAATTGATATAGGATACTTTTTATCCCGGAAAATGTCAGGTACTTGTGGGGTTCTCAAAAAACTCAAGTTAACGTGGACGAAGTCGCGGGCGGTCGCTAGTTAATAATAAAAAACCGACTTCATAAAAACAAATCCACAAAAAGTAAGAAATAATACAATTCTTTACTATACGTAAATATATAGAGTGCAATTAAAATCAAATTAACAGCTGGTGTCGGTGCCATGCCAACCCAAGTAATAAACGAACAAACAGTAACTCAGGTCTCGAACCAACTAGAAATGTTAATTTTACTTTAATTAAAATGTACTTTAGATAATAGTAAATAATTGTTTTTTTTTATTTTAAATCAGTTTTTTATTATTTTTATTTTGTTAAAAAATATTTTATTCGCTGCTTGTTATAAACAAAAGCGACATTACTAACTACGCATATCTTACCTGGGGGCCAATCGCCTAACGGGATTGCCATGGGTATCGCTATCGCTTAACAATTTATTTAATTTGTTCCACTGCACCACAGCAATTATTCATCGAACTCGGTACTCACACGAATTGTCAGGACATACAATACATGTTTTCACAATATTGATATTTTCGCAAACACAAAAACTAAATTCCAACATGAAATAAAAAATAGACTACAGGAAAAAGAATCAAAAGGGTAAATACTTAAATTTATTTATATTTAGAAGCATCGTATATATACGCAAGATATTAGATGAATAAACGGATCAGAAAAAAGTATTCATTATACCTTATTAGTCTTACATACTTAGTATAATTATGTATATGTGTAAATATTACATTTTATTTATGATATTTATACTTACTACTTTTATAATATTACATCACGATTATATGTGGATGGATTGTTTGATGATCGCTTGTTAAAGATAGAAGTACCAATAATAAGTCACCTATTGTTAATCTAGTTAAGGAAAACCTGTCATTGGGCATACTTTTAGAAATGTACCTATTGTAAATTTTATATCGGAAAAACGCTGTTGGTTTTCTTAGAAAATAAATAAATAAATTCATTTGGTGATTTCTGACCACCGAAGGTTTTCAAATACCTAATGCTTATTTGTTTTCAAATACCTAATGCTTGATGTGTGTATTTAATTTTGTTATTACCAATCATCATCATCATCATCATCAACAGCCTATCTTAGTCCACTGCTGGACATAGGCCTCTCCAAATGCACGCCACTTAGATCGATCTTGGGCTACTCGCATCCAGCTCCTGCCAGCCACCTTGCGCAAATCGTCACTCCATCGCGCCTGAGGACGTCCTACACTACGTTTGCCTAGACGCGGTTTCCACTCCAGAACTCGTCTACCCTAACGGTTATCGGTTCTTCGACAAATATGGCCAGCCCACTGCCACTTCAACTTGCTAATCCAGTGGGCTATGTCGATAACTCTGGTTCTCTGCCGGATTACCTCATTTCTGATGCGATCCTTCAGAGAAACTCCGAGCATAGCCCTTTCCATAGCGCGTTGAGCGACTTTGAACCTGTGGACCAGCCGTACCGTCAGTGTCCACGTCTCGGCTCCATATGTCATCACAGGTAGGACGCACTGATTGAAGACTTTCGTCTTTAGACACTGTGGGATCGACGATGTCAGGACTTGACGTAACTTCCCAAACGCTGCCCAACCTAGCTGAATTCTTCTATTCACCTCGTCCTCAAAGTTGTTTCTACCTAACTGCAATGTCTGCCCGAGGTACACATATTTTTGAACAACTTCGAGAACGGCACCGTGTATTGCAATCGGTTCCGGTAGAACATGTTCATTGAACATGACCTTGGTTTTATCCAAGTTCATCCGTAGGCCGATGCGTATAGAAGAGTCAGCCAGGTCATTCAGCATCTGTTGTAGGTCCTGCAGGGTTTCTGCCATGATGACGATGTCGTCTGCAAATCGCAAGTGAGAGATGCGTTCGCCATTTATGTTGATGCCACGTCCTTTCCAGTTCAGCGTCTTGAACATATCCTCCATTGCATTAGTGAACAATTTCGGGGAAATAACGTCCCCTTGTCTCACTCCACGATGCAATGGTATGGGACTTGTTTGCTGATTTTGTGCTTGGACAGACATGGTGGCGGCTTCGTACAGACATCTAATCACTTGGATGTATCGCCAGTCGACTTGGCAACGCTGCAGGGACTCCAGAACAGACCAGATTTCAATCGAGTCAAAGGCCTTCTCATAGTCCACAAATGCTAGGCACAGGGGCTGATTGTACTCTTCAGTCTTCTGTATAATCTGCCGCACTGTGTGAATGTGGTCTATGGTGCCGTATCCGCTCCGAAACCCAGCCTGTTCCGGTGGTTGGAAGTCATCAAGTCTTCGCGCAAGACGGTTCGCGATCACTCTTGAGAACAGCTTATAGACGTGGCTTAGAAGGGATATGGGTCGATAGTTCTTAAGTTGGGTCTTGTCCCCCTTTTTAAAGAACAAGACAACCACACTCCTACTCCATGCCTCCGGAGTTCTCCCTTCGAACAGGACAGTGTTGAAAAGCTTTTGGAGCTCCCTCAGTACGGGTTTACCTCCAGCCTTTAAGAGTTCTGTTGAAACACCATCCTCTCCAGGGGCTTTTCCATTTTTAAGCTGTCCAAGAGCATGTTCGATTTCGCCAATACTGACTTCTGGCAGGTCTTCGGTGAAGTGGCGTGTTAATGTGGCTCTAGAATCTTCATTTCTGGGATCGGGTCGAGATGCATGTGATGCGTACAACTGGCTGTAGAAGTCTTCCACTTCCGAAAGGACTGCCGGCTTTGAAGCAACAACTTCCCCACTTGCTGTGGTCAACTTCGTCAGATGGCTTCTTCCAAGAGATTGTACGAACACTTTGGATCCTCGATTCTGCTCGATCGCTCTCTCGATCGAGAGAGTATTGAAGCACCGGAGGTCGTGTCGTACGTGCTTACTGATCTCTTGGTTTAGAGTCCGCTTTGCCGACGAAGTGACGGGTGGATTTTCACGTCGTTCCTTCATTAGCCCTAAAGTCTCTTCCGTAAGCTTTGACTTCCTGCCCTTACGCTGCGTTGCACATAATCTCGTACCCTCTTCCCTGAGGATCCGAACCACATTTTCGAGGTTTTGGTTTACGTCTGTTGTGGTTTCCACGGCAGCAAATCGGTTCTCCAGATTTGACTGGAACGTTTCAGACCCTGTTATAGATTGGAGCAGAGTAGGTTGGAGCCTGGATTTAATCAAACGGACGCGCTCGACCTTAAAGTTGATATTCAAAGAGCCCCGGACGAGTCGGTGATCACTACCGGTATTGAACCTGTTGATCACTGAGACGTCTCTGAATATGTACCTCTTGTCCGTCATGATGAAATCGATCTCATTTTTAGTCATAGTGTCGGGGCTTTGCCACGTCCACTTCCTTTGGGGCTGTTTCTTGAAGAAAGAGTTCATCAAGAAGAGCCCCTCCCGTTCGAGGAAGTTGACGAGCATTTGCCCCCTATGATTTCTGCTTCCAAATCCATGGGATCCTACTACCAATTCGCTGCAATTCTGTACTCCCACTTTAGCGTTGAAGTCCCCCATAACAACGTTGTAGTGGGTCTTAGTAGTGGAGTGGAGGGCCCTCGATATATCATCGAACATATCCTCCACTTCGTCGTCCGAGTGTGTCGAGGTCGGTGCGTACACTTGCACCACCTTGAGGCTATACCTCTCGGTGAGCTTTATAATAAGGTACACTACCCTGTTCGACACGCTGGACATTTCCACAACGTTATCGGCAAGGGACTTATTCACCAAAAACCCAACGCCACCTTGGGACTGTTGGTCTCCCCCGCGGAAGTACATTAGGTGGCCCGATTCGAGCGTTATGGTGTCCTCCCCCTCTCTTCGGACTTCACTTAACCCTAAAATGTGCCACCTAATCTTCCCAAGTTCCACCTCGAGTTGCGCCAGATGCGAGTCAAGCCGTAGCGTGCGTCCCCTACGTCGTTGGATGGTTATACCGCCATCGGTCGGTTTGCCAGAGCCTCGTCTGTTGGTCAACAGGGTGCACCACGTGAAGGTGAGGTTGGCTTGGGTTCTTGCAGGTATATTAAGAACCCCTTACACCCCACCACCCATTTATTTAGTTATTACCAATGCAAAAGAAAAAAAGAGCGAGTGGCATTCGAAAACCTGCGGCGGTCAGAAATAACAATATGAAATCCTAAACGATATCATAGCAATCACTTTGGACGAATGGCCCCCTAACCTGCCTCTATCATATCGCTTAAAATAACCAATCACGAAGTGAGTACTGTTTGTAGTTAAGGAGTTTCATTGTTTTTTCGAAGGGCTGATCAGATCGTCATCAAATTAATAAGAAAGATCCCGAATGACCGATTCAAACAAAAAAAATATATCAAAGTCGGTCAACGCATCTCTAAGATACACGCGAACAACAATAAAATATATTATTATAGGTACTAACGAATTGAGAACCTCCTTTTCGGAATCGGTAAAAATAACGTAAAAAGATTATCTGCAAATTTATTTTTTGATAAATAAAGGAATTTAATGGAATAATGTATTTATTTGTCATCTGCCGATTTCACACAAAGACGTCCGAGACCACTGTTCATGTACAGTGTGAGTATAATACTGTGACATATATGAGTTAAGTATTTAATTTCAATAAATGGGTTTTTCTTATTTTATTTCCTCGCAAAATACATGGAAAAATGTTGTATAACACGATGACACGTGAGCATAAAAAGTTATTACGAATGCGTACCACAGTAATTTTGTTTCGCTATACGAGTATGGTACTTATTTGTAATAACCTACTTTCGGCACGTGAATCATATATAACTATTGTTTTACTGAAATAATTCAAATGGAAAGAAATTAAATTCGATAATGTGGTTAGTTTATGTAATATTTCATCAGAAAAGAGTTTTTAATAGCTAATGACGCTGATATAAGTAAGACTTCATGAACAAAGATCAAACCGAAAGACATTAATGATCATAAGGGCCATTACGATTGCAAAATTATTGGATACGTAAGACAATACTTAATGTGTAAAAATGTGTTATCATGAAAAAGTTCTCAGTTACCGTAGCTTTCGGTGGTATATCCCATTGCAATGCGACCGGCGAGTTTAGCTGGTATTTCACTGAACAAGTCAGCGTAAAATTTTCACCAGCTATAAAATACCTATCTGCTTTATCTATTCGCAATTTGGGTGTCCACGTATCCTCCCTTTTCTCTGTAACAGAAAGCCAATTTGAAACAGTTACTAATAAATTAACTACATAAAATAAAGTATCATCGAGCTAAAATAAACAACAGCTGTATACGCTCCATCCGACTTTTTTAAATAAAAATATTTAGTTTAAAATATACTCATCAATAAAAAAAAGTCTAAGCAACATATTGTACAGTTTTGAACAATTGAACGATTTTTACTATTGTAATAAATATTTATTTATACTATACTATTATATACATAATCTAAAACCTGTTTTTTTTAACCAGCCAATTATATTTTCGGAAACAAAAAATATTGAATACTAATCTATTTTACTAAGAAAAAAATAAACATCTATTAACTTATACAGTTTCCGTAAATAATGCGTGTTGTTTAGACTTTTTTGATGTGTGTATTTATTTATGCTCGACAATAAAACAAGACAATGAGAGATAATCTATATTATATAAATAGGTACTTCATTATTATATAATTGTTATTGTTTTAAATTGTATTTTTACATATTTTATTGCCAAAGTAAATAGAATAGAAAATAAAACATCAGTAATATTTATTTATAAGTAACAGCGCTGTTAAAACAGTTGTAATTTTATTCTCAAAATAATTATAATGATCCTTTAGTTATTATTAGACCAAAATTAATTTTGATTCAGCCCATCCTTAAAATTCACAAGACGTGTTGAATCTATTTCACCATCTCTAATAAATATAAAAACCATTTACTTATTACCATAAATATAAAATAAAATAACCCACTTGAACACAATTGAAACAGATCAGGTCAATGAAGCAAATCATACTCGTACCAAAGTTAACAAAATTAATTTGAGTTGCTTATTACTAATTTAAAATAATAAGACTATGTGCATTCAGACCTTTAAATATGTATTTGAAGGAAAGGAGTAATTTATAACGTAATAGTGCTTTTAACTATGAATAGAAATTGATTACTTTCGGTGCTGATAACAGGATACTGCCGCTAAACTAAAACCCAATGACTTGCAGATTGACTAATAAAATAAGTAGGTAATATACGGGAATAATGAAAAGAGGTAATGAGATTAGGAACTATTTCGAACTTATAAAACCATAATTTGTAGTTTGCCGTTCATTTTTGGTGATCTTTACATAACTAAGTAGATGGCGAGAACGGAAAAGAAGCGCCGTAGTAAGTAATAGGCTTTGTCGATCTCATCACAAAGGAAGTTCATGGGCTTTCAAGTTTAAACAATATTACTTACAACAAGAAGACTCCTCTTAGCACTTCAACCTTGGCGCTAGTTCGTTGAAACCACAGAAATAAGTTAAAACCATTTGATTTTCAAAGTAAAATCTCATTCATTGGAATAGGATTGACATTGACAATTTTATATCTGCTATATTTCCTTTTATCTGTGTTGAATGAATAGGAACTAATTCAGCAATTTTGGTTTTTGAAATTCCCTTCTTAAAAACCACTAACTGCAGATTAATATTATTTGACTAAATATAAAAATAAAAAAAATATGTCCAAAGTAAAAATACTTGCAGCGCTGTTACGTTTTGTAATTTATAAAGTTATTTTGTAATTATTATAATTCGTACATAAGATATTAATAGATAATTAAAAAAGAACATCAAATATGGAACATTACCTATTTAAGTTTTTCATAATAGGCAACAAAGACTAAAAACGGAAGAAAACTAAAGTAAAAGTATTACTTATGAAGACACCGATAATACATATACTTGACAAATCAGAATGTTTTAATCTTTTTACATTTAAAAATAAATATTAGCTATTAACGTGCAGTAAAAAAAGTTTAATTACTTACATAATTTCATACACAATACATATTACAATTGCCAATTTTCGATAACATAACATAGTTCTGTGTACATAAATTAGTAAAATTATTAGTTAAATGTTAGTAGATTATGATTAACAAACATTATTTACAACTCGTGTGCGCCTACGTCTATGTAATATGCAGTGCAAGACACCAAATAGAAACAAAAAGAAGGTAAGTAACAAGCATAAGCTCAACAAACAAAAAAGTTTAACCACTGAATGAACCATCACACCACGCTACCTCGTTAGGTGACACCAATATACATGTTACTTTACTTACTTAGAAGTTTCCAAGAGGTATGATTTCCTCTTCTGGCGTCGCATCGATAAGAAGGCATATTTGCCTTTATCAAAAACCCAATCTTTGGCGAGAATTTTTTATATTCTGGTGTCTTGCTACCCGGCTTCTATTACAGTAGGTATCGCCAAATAAATACTCAAATTCAATAAAATACGTAGTAAAGTCCTGATGCTTTTCAATTTTAGATATTGTAAGAATTCTAAAGTCAGGTTTATTTCATCAGCTAAGATAAATAGCAGAGGAAGCGATTTATACTTTACATTTAAAATTGAAAATCATCGCTTACCACACTCAAGATTCACGACAAATTTCAATATCAGTAATAAAGTACTTTATGTAGTATCAGTAGTAAAGTTTTGACTGTCATATTATCTTGAGCGTGAAAACTATACGAAATAATAATAAAAACAGACATCTATTCACCTACGTTTCTCTATAATTACTTGTCTGTCATCCTGTATGTTACTATTTGGTTTCGTAGCATCACATTGAAATAAAATGACATCTTCTGATATGACTTTTAATTCATCGTTATCTAAAGTCAACCCAATTTTAGGGTCATAATTTTCGTAATCATATTTTAGACGAGATGTAGGATCCTGGATATCAATAATGTAGTTAAGGAACTCGTGAAAAATGTAATGTTTCTATAGAAACATTCCATGCTTTAGTAAAGGCTTCATCGTCAGCAATAAGCGTTAATGACTGCTTATTAACAGCAATTTCATGAGACAATGTTGATTGTTTGAGTAATTAAAAAGTATAGTTAATTTAATAAACTTTGTCTCATTTCATTTAAAAATTTAGTATTATTTATTATTAACCATGCAAATGCAGAAAAGCTAAGTGTTTAGTTACGATGTCACAGATGTATATTATGACATGTATTTTCACTGGAACTTTTTATCTCAGTGCTTTTTGCTGCTATTTTTACAATGTCAAAATGAACACGCTTAAATTTTCGTATTATGTTAATTCTATACATACCACCAATGATAATGTAATGATTATATCTGGCATTGTGGGTTTACATCGAAGTATGGCTTTTGATCCACTCGGTACTACAAAGTACTCCAACATAGGTGCGAATAATACGTCAGTGCCTAAAATTATTGAGAAACATACGCTTTTTATTAATTCCACTTTTATTTCATTACTTTAAGCTAGTAATCGGATTATATTCTCACCATTAACGTAAATATAAATATATGAAATGTGTTCTGTATTACTAGGTTCTTCCATTAGATCGTTCAAAATATTATCACTATCGACAGCATCATCGTAGCAAGCATAGTAACCGACTGCATATTGATCTACATTAAAAAGATCTAGAGCAATTTCAAACGGATAATTGACATCGGTTGATTCTAGTATTCTTTCCTCCATACTGAAAGCACCAATCAATTCTTCTGGTATTTCTTGTTGCCTTATTTGCAATCGTCTTTTTCCTCTACATATAAGTGTAAAATTTTGACCCTGTTGTAAGACTACTTCAGTTTTTTGTGGTATTATTATTGGCCCATCTATATCTTCCTGATCTGAAAATAACAATAATTCCCTTCTTTTATACGAACGTTTTGATAAGGAAAATTTTGCTGTATTGTGATATCATATTAAATTATTAAGATATCGAATTACATCAGACTTTGTTTTTAAAGACGCTGGCAGTATATATTTTTTTTATAACAGTGAAATACGTAATTGTACGTTGTTACTCTGACAAAACATTTAATGAAATTTTGTAGCTGAGTAATCATTCTAACGAGCTAATGTTTTTACAAAAGAATATATTTGCAAAGTTGCAATTTAGAAATGTGCTCTTAAAGTTTCCGATGATCAATAGCTAATCATGTTGCTAATACGATGACTAACGACCTAATAGGGGTTGGTTTTGTATCTTAACGTCAACGGAGGCAGCAATATATCACCAGTTCAGTACAACGAAGCGGTTTCAGCAGGTTGGCTTATCATGTTAATGGTCGACAAGTGTAATATGAGCTCGCTTGCCAGCACTCTATCGAAAACACTATTAATTAGCGATGTTCGCTTAGGGCGTGACAAAGGTGTGGTCAACATTGGGGGAAATTAATCCTACCAGTAGGATGGTAAATGAACTGTACTGTCGCGTCGCACGTTGATAACAATTTAATCGTATCGAATTCGGGAAAATGCGACCAATTAAGCGATTAGGAGCCTGCGGCTCTACTTATCGGCAAATTAATGGTCATCCCACTAAGTGGAAGCCTATGACGTCTTTCGCTGTGTATAAATATCATCCCTTTGACGTACTCGATAAACTGTTTACTTTTGGGTAAGGCAACTTTCATTAGAAGAAGGCATAATGTTGGAACAATTAATTAGTCGTCGGCTTTACTTTTATACATATATCATGGTTTTCATGCATTATGTTTCGTCAGTTAATTTATTTATTTAATAAAAACATTACATTGTTATCACAGGATCATTATCCCTACGATAGTGTTGCACAAAAAATTACCAATTATGATAATGAATTAATGATTATAAAGTACACAACAAAGTAGCTACATTATTAACTCTTGTAACATAAAATATATAACCCGTGAATTTATTCATAGTACACAAGAATAAATCTTGCACTCAGGGGGGACTTGTTCATCAGCTGTCTTTATGTTCCGTACCACCAGCAACCGCTAATGTCAACACTGCTGAGGAACAACTCTGCCCTCAGGATGGAATAGAAATAGGTTCTGATGACTGGAGTTGCAAAGCCAAAGCCAAAGTTACTACCACAATCACAAACCGAAAATGTTTACCAATGTACCATATGTTATGTATGTTGCATAATAAGTTTAACTTTTATTCAGATTTTGAGATTTAATATGATAATCCCATTGAGTTTTACTAGCTTTGCTTGAAGTAACAAGCTTTTCATTACGAGAGTAATAATACGCGTAATTCTACCAAATTAGTCCACTTCAACACAACACCCTGAAATTCCAGCAACCTTAGACGTTACATCTAGATAGTTATATTTGTTTCAATTTGGTCACTGAAATTAATAATTTTCTAACAAGTAAGTACGTCAATTGATAACAAGTATATCAAAAGATTTTTGACGAGATTATTGAAAATTATAGTCGCATTATTCGCCAATATTCATTTTAAGTTTCAACGTTATTCTGGTATAGTATACGCGTTTATAATGAGATGCCTGGTACATTGAAGAGTACTACTATTGTACTACTTGGTGAATATAACTCTAAACATAAAACAAAACCACATTAAATTGTACTACGATGTGCATCCTCTAGAGGATGCACATCGTAGTACAATTTAATGTAGGTATTACTTATGCACAACTATATCAAAATATTAGCTTTCACTGACCTCAAAATACGCATAAAAAGGGATACAACGTTTTTTATTTAGTATAAATACAGAAATATTAAAAAGTCTAAACAAAGTTTTACTAGAACAAGAAATCTACTTGGTCAAGCCTGCTGATGTCTGGACCGGTTATTGGATTACTGGATACCGACCGATGTTTTTTTTTAGTTAGTTCTAGTTAGTTAAAGTTTCTTTAAATTTACAAAATCGAGCAGTTTAATGCTTAAACCAAAAATAATAAACTATAATAAATACTTGTGTATTCATAGACACCAAGGCCGCGTTGTTAAATGCAAATTTAAATTAAACTATAATTGATGTCACTTCAAATACATAGTAAATGTGGCAAATTTTGACAAATGGTTACAGTATTTTAACTAGTCAAATTATGCTGTTTCAAAAATCCAAAAAAAATCAATATCAATATTCAGTTAAGGCTTTTACATGCACATGTGAAAGTCGAAAACTTCGACATCGGTTTGCAAAACTATGACGGGAGACCTTGCTTGTACTGAGAAGAAATGGCAAGAAACTCAGCAAGGGCTGCTTTTTTCTCCCAGTTTTATTTCATGAAGTGTCGTCCAATTGAAAGCTGACATCAAATTTAAAAACATGTATTAATGTCAACTTCCATCATATCATGTAAAATAGGTTACTAACAGATTTTTAAAATCTCGTAATATCTACTACGAGAACTAGGTACTTAAATTAGATTACAATAAAAAGGAAAGATACGGTACGCTCAAACAAAATATGATACGACTCAACTACATAAGCAACTCTCAAACACGTACACGTCTGTAAAAAACATTCAATCGAACGAGCCGTCAACGCAGCGCGACCGAAACGGCGAATCAGCTTCCGAGTGCGAATGGCTGAGCTATATTGTTGTCCTTTTCTTGATAACAAAATGGTGATTACGTAAAACATTCACGACAACTGTGAGTTTTGAGAAAAAAAAATTACAGTTTTACGAATGAAAAATGTTATCGAGGCATTTATTATTTGATTATATCTTAGATATAAAATTCTCGTGTCACAATATTACTTACCATACTCCTCTAAAACGGCGTGACCGATTTTTATGAAATTTTATATGCATATTGCGTGGGTCTGAGAATCGGCTACTATCTACTTTTCATATCCTTAAGTGATAATGGTTGTCCACCTGTAACGTAGTGTTCTGAAATCTACAATGCGCCTTCGCGCCAAAATTCAAACTATGGGGTATTGTAATGTAGTGTTCTCATATGGGTTAGGAGAAATGTTATCCCAGAAAATTGCTAGAACGCTACGTTACACACCCCTAAATTTTTTTTGGACAATATTTATTTTGTTATAATGTGGTATTAAAAATACATACAACCCTCAATTTTCTCATTTCTTTATAAAACCATCAAAGGCATTGTTTTATCTTTATAACACAGAATATACGCAAAATTGTTGAATTGAGTGTACATGCAGCGTGTTTGAATGTCTCTTTGTGACTACAGCGAATTGTGATCGTGCACCACAATTTAAGCGGATCACTTTTAAGCCGTGAGTGCCGTATCTTCCCTTTTTGTTTTAATCTAAGGTACTTAATTGATTTTTTAATAATGACTCATGACAATTTGCTTTGTAGTTGCTATATACATCAATAGAATCAATGAAGTTCATTCTCTCCTTCCTAACTGCATATTTTTATAAAAACAATTATTCTTTTTTATTAACTTTCCTGTTCCTTCCTTTTTTTAAATTTACTTATGCGAATATACTTTTATCTACTTACTATTAAATTTGATGTTGCTAGTTAGATAATTTTGTATATTATTATTCTCATAAATAATAGGCTGCTGTTATTGTGTCATGGGTCCTCCGGGAAGAGCCATTAACTCCTCGAAAAGACTTTGTTTACGCACTGTGTCCTGTAGTAGTAGTGTTGTAGATGAAGTTCATTATAATGAGTTATTTCAATATTTTAATCAACGCGGCCTGAGTAGTACGCGGTAGCACTAAAATAGAATTCTTATAAGTTTATTTTTAAGCATTTCTCTGCTAGATAGCTTGAATTTTTTAAAGTAAATATCACTTAAAAAAGTACCTTTTATATTTAGTACTAAAATATTTTTATCGAACACCTTTCAGTTATATTATAAATTGAATTTCATTGTAGGAACGTAATCTACTCTTTACATCCTACATAAGCGGATGGACGCGTTTAAGATATCAGTGTATGCATCCTGTTCTGTCGCTAAAATGTATGATGGAGCCAGTCACTTCCTTATAAACGATCTGAGCGTAAGTAATTCATTATGAAATTACTCCGAAGCAACGAGCATAAATATTTTAGAGTACAGACTGTTTTGCGTAATTTTACTCTGCTAATGATGAATGTTTGTTTGTACGATATTGTAACAAACGCTATGATGGATGAATGACAGTCAGACCAACAATGTAAAACTAAATAAAGAGATATCATTAATCAGCAAAGTGTAACTAGAATACACAGATGACGTAAAAACTGTAACGTAACTACTTAGAATAAAAATTAAACAAAATTCTTTAGCTCGGTTAGGGCATGATGGGTGATTGTTATTTTCTTTTCGTCATCTACAATTAATACACCGAGTATTAAGATTAGGTATTCGAATATCCTATTCTAAAGGTGCTGTCCGAGGGCCTATGTGTACGAGATTTCTATTTACTTCGTATCATGTATAGAAACTGCTTAATAAATAAGAAGCAAAACTACAGTTGTTATTTTATTCATGATTCCTACCTAACCAAGTTTTTCCTAATTGTTATTCTTTAAAATTGCACCGAATAAAATGAATTAGTTGTAATATTAATTCACTTCATACTGAGTTCATACTAAATTCATAGGTTGACCTATGTTTCATTGAATATTAAACATAACCTCAAAAAGTTTTTAGTTTTCCTAATAATTTAAGTTCTCAGAAGTGTCCGTCAATAATCTTTGTCATTACAGTTATTTACTTACGATTTTGAACCTAAAAAATAATATTTCATGATTGTTGGTTTTTAGGCTAACTATGTATGGACGCTGAACAATGTCCTTTACCAGCTATTAGAGAAGTTGTTTGTCCGAGTAAATTATATCAAACATTGTGGGACGAAACTAGAGACAAACGTGCCCGTTAACAATGGAAAAATTACTTAAGCCCAA